CGAACCCGCGACAGCCAGATTAAGAGTCTGGTGCTCTACCGACTGAGCTAACCGGGCTGTGAATAACCTTCTTTCTTATTTATTCTTAAACTTTTTACGTGCGTTTCTTCATGTTGTCTCGGTACAAACAGCCAGACGTCATTTCCAGCGTGAACGGCTGTACTTCGATTCAGGCAGTCATCAATACAGAAAACTAAGAAATGTGATGAAGGTTTTCGTTAGTGTGTGTGTATGCGTCCCTAAGAGAGACAGAAAGTCATGTGTGAAAAATAATTTTTGATAAAAAGGACAAAGATACACCTGATATCACGCTTGAGGACGGAAAACAGGAAACGTAACTCGAGATATTTTCACAACATTTTTAATGGAGCCGCTGAGCAACTGAGCAAATCAGTTTATTAGCTTCTTGACCTTTTTGCATTTTGTTTGCAAACGGTTTGACCTCAACACATATTACCATCCTTATCGCACATAGATGATGAAGAGTAGGCAGTTGATGAGCAGAAGCCATTGATTGTTGGCAACATTATTCATTTTTTGGTAATGTTGTCGAAAAATCAAAAATAATCAAAATAATAAAATGTTTGTTTACATCTAATGTCTTTAACTCCGTCTATCAATTGTCACATATTCATCACATTCATTCATTATTCATCCTTTCACAATACCGCCTAATAATGAGACAGACAATTGCAATTCTTCTTTACTACTAACTTCTTTCTGTCTCTTTCTCTCTCTCTTGATCTTTCACTGTTTCACTATCCCTCTTTCTATCTCTCTCTCTCTCCCTCTCTCCCTCTCTCTCTCTCTATTCCCTCTCATCGTTTTCCCTTCTGGATGTCATCTGTTTCTCGCGCTCCTCACATCATGATTCTTCTCAGAACTGTTAATCGAAAGACATCTGGTCCTTATTCATATCTATTTATCCATCCCACCACATATCGTGTAAATGATTTCGAGACTGTAAATATCCTCTTTTATAACCTCAAATTATACTCCCATACTCGATTCTCTCAGTTTTCGTCCATCATCTCCCGATAACCTTATACATTGAAAACTGTTTGCTACTTTTCTTTCTTTACAAGAAGTTCACACGTTAAGTTAAAAGAACAATTTTCCTCATCTTCGTCTCCCATATAATCCGGTCCGGCTGACCCGTATTCTACTAGGGCAAAGCCATTCTTCGCCTATCGTTGACTTTTTGCATCTTTCCAACCAACCTATAACTTGTTATTATCCATTTATGGTAACAAAGACTTTCCCTTTCCCCAAATCTTCATTCAGCTCACTATATTTCTGTAATGTTCAGTTAGATCTGTGGATGGCCATTCAGAAGCCATTTATTCTCGTTCATCCTCCAGCCGTCCCTTTCCTTCCCCCCCCCCCCCTTGCAGTCATCCCCAGCCCACCAAACCATCTGTCCACTTCACTTTCATTGAATTCATCCTAGCCATTTCATGTTTCCGTTCTGTTTTCCGTTCGACCACCTGACCGATTCTTCACCTATTCCGTTCATTTTTTCATTTCAGGAATTATGCCTAAAAGGATAGTTTTTTTGGCTTTTTTTCTTGAATATTCGTTAGTCGTGTCACTGTCTTCACCTTACTCCATTGAACGTAACTCAGTCTTTCATGGAAAAATACTGAAAAATGAGAAAATCTCCAATCTCAACATGTGTGTCACTGACTGTTCACTCGTAAGTTTCATTTTGAAAGACAATTTCGGTAAATTGTAAAACCTTATACCTTGTTCCATGTTCAGATGAGTGAATGCGAAGGATTCAATCTAGTCATTGATTCAGCATATCAAATATTTTGTCTTCTGATGAAGGAAGATGTACAACAGTCCGAAACAAGACATCTTCTAAAGAAGACCATTCTGATGTCTGGACGTAAACAACATTTGAAAAGTAGTTTCAATCATTTTCCCATCTAATCAGCTTCTGATTCAGATTTCAACTGTTTAGAGCGAAGTTTTGCTTTTGAAACATTCAGGAATCGACGTCCATCTCATCCTGATGACGTATTGAAATCATTTAACTCTTCGTCCATCACGGATTGTCTAAATGAATGTCTACATACGTAACTTCTTGTCAAACTTCATATTGAATATTACTTCCTTGTTTCAGAGATAGTTGCTTATCAGCTGTTTTTAATTCGAAGGATTCTGTTTGTCTTCTCTCCAGAATCTCTATCAACTACGTTTATAATGTGAGGAAAACCTTCATTTATGATGAAAATTATGATATTTATGAGAATAATTGCTTTAAAGGTATTTAATTTAAATCTTAATCATCTTATTTTTGTCTTAAAGTGCCTATTAACGAAGGAGCTTGTTCATGGATGAGAGTTAAATATGGAGGGATTCCTGATCTCTTTGATTCTCAGCAAACAGCTCATCATGTTGATCATTGTGAACAGCTATGTCTCCAGAGATCACAAACATCAGATATCTGCAGGTTTTCAAGTCACTAAGTTGCATATAACATTTCCTTTGAAGGTCTTACACATTCGACCAAACAAGGAATCTATGTTTGATGTCATCGAGTAATTCTCGGATTATGGGAAGAAGTCCATTGGAATTTCAGAACAAAAATTATTTTCACGGAGATTTAGATGATTGCATGGATCGTAAGTACCTTCATGGTTTTTCAAGAAAGAAAAAATTAAAAAAAAAAAGAACTAACAAACGCTTGTCATCTGCTATGTCGTCTCTCTAACGACCAACGAATGACCCAAATCTGATGGACAATCGTTACATTCTCTCTGTAATGACCGTTCTCTCTTTCTTCCTTTGAACCCTTACCCTCTCTTCATTACTCACTTCCTCTTCCTTTTTTTTGGCTCTCTGAACATAATAATTGCATGAGGAAAATGATTTTTATTTTCAAAAGCATAATTGGAACAAGAACCAATTTCTAATGAATAGTCAAATGAAAGGAAACGTGGAGAGAACTCATTTTTGTATTTTTCAGTTTCGCTTAAATGTCGTTTGGAGCATTTGGATGTTGAAGGATGGACTTTAAGACAATTCTCGTGAGCTAATCATATCATTAAGCTTGAACTCAATTTCATTTCCAGAGGAAATTTGAAAACTAAGCGTTCCCGCGATGTTATATGTCATTCAGATGTTAAAAAAACATTCCGATTCTCATCGAAATTCGATTATGAATCTTGTGGATTGAACAGAGTTGTAAGTTGCTTTTGATATAAAAAGATTTCCACAAGGAAGTTCAAAAAGAAATGCAAAAGTGATAGAGTGTTTGTGAGTAAAGAGAGAGAGAGATAGTAAGAGAAATAGAAGAGCAACCATTCTGAAACTCAAACGTTCAAATAATGTGAAGTTCAGGTAGTAAATTGAGTTCCACGTGAATCCACGTCTATTATGTAAATGAAACAAATCGAAAGTCTGAGAAGCACTCCAAAATAACAGAGTGCATTCGCACGAATAGTTTTTTTTTCTTTCCAGAAAGAACCAATCGACGCTTACCATGGATCTATTCATTTGAAAGAAGGAAGCACTTCACTAGTTACAGTCAGAGATAAAGTGCTACAAGTTGAATGTCGCATACATCCTCAAATCGAGAAGTATGATAGAGTGTTATCAGTAAACATGAATGTTTCTGATTCTGAGAACTCTCGTCTGTTGTAAGAAAGCAAGTTGACATCAACGATGAATAGATTTATTTAGATCTGAAAAAGTGATAATACTTCCGAAGCTTAACGAGAATCCAGTTCCGAAGTTCAGCTTGTCAGGTACGAAGAGAATGAAAGGATGGTCCCGGCTGAAGTTAACTTCTTTTCTTTCAGTTTTATCAGAAAATGGAAAGGCTGCCGATAAAATTCGAATTGGAGAGAAAGCCTGGTTAAGGATTCGAATGAACTCTAAAGAGCCTTCAGGCTCTTTTCTGGTGACCAAGGTGATCGCTAAAGAGATTCTGACAAACAGAACGATGGAATTAGTTGATTCAGAAGGGTTCGTTCAGATGGATGAAGGAGATTGATAAAAACTGAATACATTTCAGATGCGTTTCTGTCAATGAAAGCGTAATCGATTTCATTCATTTAAATAATTCAGCTCCTGCAATAAGCTTCCGCCTGAACGTTGGAGCCTTCAAGCGAGAGGTGATAGATAGTTGAATGAGAACTAAAAAAATCAAAATTTTGAGCAAAAAAATGTAATTTTTCAGTCTGAATTAATATATCAAGCGTATGTGGTGGCTTGTGACAAGAGCTGTCAACCTAGCTGCAACAAACATTTGTTTGAGCAGAAAGCAACAGCTTTGTAAGCTTCATATGCTAATTTGAATTTTGAATTTATCATATTTTTCCTCTTTTTCAGAATAAGTTCACCCATTGCAATAGTTGAACGGCAGAAAAGGTCAATAACAGCTCGTCAAATTGAACTTTCACAAGATATATATAAGGTTCGTGAAGATTAATTAGGATATTATATTATTTATTAAAAAAATAAAAATTTTGAAGGTTTATGCAAATAAGCTGCATGTACTTGGATCATCTGATGATACGATAACATCAGAGCATGTCGAAAAGATATCATATAATTCACTTGAATTTTCTGTTCAACGTTGTTTTGTTGATGATGTCACATGTCTCTTTACGGCTTTACTAGGATTTATTCAGCTTTTCCTATTCGTTGCTTGCTTTATCAGCATGTATTGCTACTATATGGTAAGTTCTGTTGATGTTCTTAACAAACTACTCACACAATCTGATTTAAGCAATGGCGACGATATCAATTAGCTCGAAGCTCAATGAATCAGATTCAAATACAACAAACGCTCAAATGAGATCTCATAAAAACCAAGAAAAGCATAACTAGATGATATTCTATTATGAATATATATAGTATATGATCTATTCATGTTATATCTGTGCTATCCTTTACCACAAACCAAAATCTACGAGGTACATGTCATGACTTTCAAATAAAACTTTATTATGAGCAAATGGAATGATATGAATTAAAAAGATCTTTCATGTGTTGTTACAGGTTGTTTTATCTGAAAATAAAGTAAAATAAATAAATGTCTTTTAAAGAGCTTATTATTATTATTATTTTTGATTGTTTTTGATTGTTTATAAGTACCCGAATAATTGTATTTTTGGCATTTTTTGTGACTTCCGGATGTCCACGTCGTCGTTTGAGACTTTTAAGCAAAATTTCTTTGAAACATGGATTTAACCATGCGTAGAGTATAGGATTGACAACATTCGTTAACATGGCAATGCTTAAAAACAGATTTATAATTAAATATACTATGGAAGAGGAATGAAAACTTACAAATGGGCTGTCATAGATACTATATAAGTATGATCCATATGATCATAATGAAAGTAGGCTTCATCATATTCAATCATTAAGCCAATGACATTATGTGGTAGCCAGCAAACACCGAATAAGAGAACCTGTAACATTCCATGTAAGGTATTGCTTCAACTTGCATCCTCACCATCGATACCAATATCATTGTGGTACGACGTTGTTGAGCTAATACTGTCATCTTTTGATTTTTCTCAAATTCACATACAGAATTACGATGTTCACCGCTATCATCCTAAAAGTGAAGATGAAGAATAATTTAGAATAATGAATATGAAATGAGTTTATATATTAAACATACAGGAATGTTTGAGTTGCTTGTACTTGAAGCTGTACTATGTGGCCCAGGTGTATTACTGGTTGTTGCATTCTCAAGCAGCTGTGTTCTTTCTGATATTTTTTTCAATTTTGATTCAGCTCTAGAAAAGTGTTAGATGTATGATGAATGTAATGAATTTAAATTTTCATAAAAGTGAGACAACCTACCTTTCACGTAATCGACTGAATAATTTGTAATAACAGACAGCCATGGTAGCGAAAGGAAATAAGAATTGCATAAGAAGTACTAATATGGCATATGACTTTCTAACTTCAGGTAGCGGCCATTTCTCTGTGCAATACTATAAACATAACATATATATGAATATAATATAATATAGTATGATGTTACTTCTCCACATAATCCTCGTATTTCAACTACCTCCATGTACCATCCATATGGCATGCACACGATAACGCTGGCTATCCATAAGCATAATGAAACTATAGAAGCTCCTCTCGTATTAACAGGATGTTTATGAGGACGAACAACGAGATTATATCTATTTATAATATAATAGTTAACTACTTCATAATCCTATCATTACCTATCATAAGCAATAGCCGAATGTGAGAATGTTGAGACGAATATGGAAGCACCCTTTAATTAAATAATTTTTTTTTGTTGATTCGGGAAATGAATTAGAGAAAGATATTGAAAAAAGAGGGGGTGGAAGTATATAAAGAGGGTGGATGACGAGAACAATTGAAAGGAAAGAAAGTAAGTAATAATAGAGAGAGAGAGAGAGATATATAGTTAGATAGATAGAGAGAGAAATCGTTAGAGAGAGAGAGAGAAAGATTAAAGAAAGAAAAGCAATTTACCTGAACTAAAGGCAATAATTTGCAGACTGGTGAAGCAAAAAACCATGTTTTATATACGCTGGTTATAGGAGTGATTGGTAGTGATGTTAAGCAGACGAGAATATCACTGATGGCCAAGTTTGATATAAAAATATTCTGAACAGTCTGCAGTTGACGATGACGAAATGTTAATAATCTGAATAATGAGTAATGATTATTGTTATATGTTTAATAAGCTTACAAGATTGCAAAGTTTCCTATTAAGCCAAGAACAAATATATGAATATATAATGTAGCAAAGATTATCATAACAAAAGGCTCATTTGTAAGATCTGGATGTTGGTCCACATAATCATCACATGTTGTTTCATTTCTCATCTGAATTAATTGAAAATTATTTTAACAATAGCTAACAGGAAGCTTAATTCAATTCAATTATTTTTCTCTTATAAAAATATAAAAGTTTGAAGATAAAATTAGAAGAAGATGAAGGAGTCACATTCATACGCACCTATTATGGAAATTCAGATACTATATATAGTGGAAAAGAGAGGGAGGGAGGATCAAAAAATATACACACACACAGAGAGAAAGAGAGAGAGAGAGAGAGACAGAGAGAGAAAGAAAGAAAGTGAGAAACAGGGTTAAAGAATGACGAGCATTTGGCAAGTCATGTTGTAGTGGTGTGAGGGAGGAGTGATTATGAGGTTGAGAACTGAAAGACAGACCGTTCACAGCGACCAACGATTCAAAAATGAAAGAACACGTGTTAAGTAATACGTTACGTGAATCAACGTGGAATATGTAAATGAAGAAATGAAGTAGTTGTGGATGAAGAAAAAAACATTTTTTTTTCTTCTTCTTCTACCACTGGTAGAAACTGATGTTTGAATGGACAGCATATGCAAATGAATCCATTTTGGGGGTGTTTTTTTAACTTCAGAATGGGATGAGAAAGTTTTGAAATTCAAATAAAAAGTGGCAAATAAGATGAGGAAGAGAAGTAAACGCAAAGCACACACATACATACACATAACCAACATCACATCAGAAGCTTATCAACGTTGATTTGTGATGAATTAAAATAAGGAAATTCCTTTTCTTCTTCATCTTCATCTCCACATTCACATGTCTATTTTTAAAAATAAAAACGTTTTATTAGAAAGAGAATAATTTCTTTTATAAGAAGACACAGATATTGTTCATTCATATATGTGCATATATAGTTAACTTATATGATATAATTAAATATTTATTTTATAAATATTTGAGATCAGAATGAGAAGCTTAAGGTTTCTCTTCATCTTCATTTTCCTTTTTTGTAATTCAACTCTCTATTTCTTTCTCTCTCTCTCTCTCTATCTATCTATCTCAATGCTTTTCCTTCCTCTTCAGGACGAAGCTTTATGAAGCTCGTCCAAGTGGTAAAAAGAACATCAGAGAATTTGATTATTCACAAGACTCTCTCTATCTCTCTCTCTCTCTCTCTACCTCACTTTTACTCTGTGAAGCTGAGTAACTCTCTCAATCATTCAAATCATTTTTCCTCTTATTTACTTTAGAGAAGAACAAAAAAAGACCTCATTTCTGAGAGCATAAGGAACTTTTCTCGCAAATCATCCAAATATGGCTTAAGGGGCGTGGTAATAAGCATTTAATGAAATAATAATGTCGTTTTCTATCTCATTATAATTAAATAAACTATAAATTTTATAGGAAAAACTATAAAAAAGTAAAAACCTATATGCTTAAATGACAGTGTAGGAGTCATGGAAAAGGAAAGAGAGAGAAAGAGAGAGAGATATGGAGGCTGAAGAGAACTCAGTTTCAATGGCTTGGGAAGAAAAATGAAATAATTATCAAAATTCTCATAATTATCTTTCTTTTGTGAAAAGTTCAAAGAAATTATTTCTTGAAATCAATGACAGTCAATAGAATCATCTTAATTGGGTTTCTTTATTATGAAAAATATTTATAAAGGAAGGGTTAAGGAAAAGAGAGAGAGAGAGATAGAGAGAGAGGGAGAGAGTGATGTAGAGAGAGAAGATCGGAAAGTAACCATGATACACTGGAAGTAAAAAGGGAGGGAGAGGGTGGGGGGCAGAAGAGAAAGCAACATAGAGAGGGAGGGGAATGGAAAAGATATTTTTGTGCTTAAGAAGAGCAAAGTAACAAGCAGACTAGAGAAGGGGAGCAGTTCATCTGATGAAAAATAGGGAAAAATCAAAAAGCTAATGAAGTTTAGATAATTGAATGGATAAATCACTCCATTTCATAGAATCAAAGAGCTTTCAAAGGTTTTTTCTCTTTTTCCAATAACTTTCGGACTGAAAGTAAGAGTATGAACCGTTTTCGGATGAGATTCAGCTGTTGCGACAGATGACAGATGTTTTCATAAAAATATTTGTAAAATATGTTAAAAAGCTGTTTCAAGGAATGGAAAGCGTGGGTTTCCTTCATTTGCTCTGCGACTAATCCACAAATTACAATATTTTTAAAGTTAAATTTTTTTTCTTTTTTTTGGCAATGGCAGTGTAGAGAGAGAGAGAGAAAGAGAGAGAAATGGAATGGAAGAGAAACAGAAGGACAGAGAGAGAGGAATGTGGAAGAAGTTGTCAAAAATCTCTTGTTGAAGCACACAATATGCTTCGTTTGCTCATATTTGGGCAGTTAAGTTACTCATCCAATTGAATCTGAGGACATAGGAAGAAAGAATTTTTTTCTTTCTCTCTTCGTTTTCTTCATTTTCTCTTCTTTTTTTTACTTTCATTTCTGACGTTTTCTTTCCTTCCACCAATGATCTTCCGATGCCTTGTCGTCGTCGTCGTCGTCGCTGTCGTCGTCATCTTCGTCATGATGATCGTCGTCGTAGTCTTTGCCGTTGGGTCGTCGTTGTCATATCCACCTTCTACATACTCACTCTCTCTTTCTTCCTTTCTCTCAATCTTTTTGCTTTTTTTTCTCTTCATAAAAGGACATGAATTGAAATTAAAAATTGAAAAGGAAAAGATTTGAAATTGAATATGAAGAAGAAGAGAGATCAAACAAAGCAGTTTGAAGTCTTTTCTGAGGTCGACCCAAGCTTCTTGTTCATTAATTTTAATTTGTAACAAGAATCTAATTGCAAACAAAAGTTTTCATGAATAAAACAATGAGCAAAAAACTAGAATTGGTTTTGAAGAAAAGGAGTTTCAATTCTGTGAAATCTGTAATCTAATAAAGGAGGAATAAAAAAAAGGAAAGCAAGGCGTCTAGTGGATTATATGTTAATATTATTTTCTTATTAAGAGAAATATTTGTGAATAAAATTAGCATAAAAGCTTATTATGCTAATTTGTAGGAAAACAGTTAAAGGTAGTGAGTGTACAGAACGAAAGCTTCTCAGTGATGACGGAGAAGAAGGCAAGACCATCATGATGATGATGATGCGTTTGGTAAGAAAACAAAAATTAGAACTGAAAAGTTTTCAATTTATTTCAACACAAATTGATGGTTGAGATGGCCAGGGATGTCTATAAGTGGCGGAGATACTGCGTTTCTTTCAAAAACCCAATAGATCTTTCAGCTTAAATGAAAATAATGTGAAAGAAGCATGGAGGCTTGGAGTAGAAGAAGAGAGGGAAAGAGGGAAAAAAGGAGGGAGAGAGGGGTGAATAGATAGAAGGGTGGGTTTGATGGAGAAGCTAAAAAAGAAGAAGAAGAAGAAGAAAATTGGGTAAATTAGCGATAAGGAAAAAAGGAGCAACAGAAGGAGGAGGAGTAGAAGAAAAAAATTTCTTTTTTTGTGTTCTGAATTGAGATGAGAAGATGTTTAAAAAAAGAAAATGAAAAAAGCATTTTGTGGTGTGACGAATGAATGAAGAAGCGAATAGACAGAGAACAACCGTTCAGCTTCAACTAAATGCTGATAAATGAGATGAGTAGCGTGTATAAGAGTACGTGAAAGTTCACGTAAAATGCAAATGAATTTGTAACATGGACGAGTAAGGGAATTGAAATAAAAAACTGCAAATAATTATGTTTTCATGAGGCTTTTCATGAAAAAAGATTGTACTAAACGTTCACAGCTTAAAACAGGTTGAAGATCTTGCAAGTTGAGAGAGAGAGAAATACTGAAGTAGATAGATAGAAATAGAATTGAACAGAAAGCTAAGATGAAAGGAAGAAAAGAGTCAAACGACGCTATATATGAAAGACCTGAGAGAATAAAATGAAATATGAGAAAGACAAAGATAAGGAATTATATAGAAAACTATTAGGTATATTTAATGGATTAATGAACGGGGGAGAATTCATGAATAACCTCTTGAAAACAATAAGAAATTCAGTTAAGCATGAATAACAGAATGTCTGACGAGATTCAGGACAGCTTGAGTGTACATGAAAAATCTTTTTTTTTTCTCATTTTTTTGTCTCCTCATATGTTCCTTCAGTTACTTTGTAGCTGATGAAGAGAAATTTGAATTTGAAAAATGAATTACGAGTACCTTAGAAACAAGAGAATGTACTTTGAGGAAAAAAAATGGGAAAAGAGTTTTAAACAAAGAGAATTGGAAGAGGAAGATGCTACTCTTCAGAAATGAAAGTCTTTGTTATGATTGTGCTATCTCAACATTAGCTTAAGATTCATTTTATTGTTAGCTATAAGCTGAATAAGGTAATATTCAAGATATGACGAAGACGATGGGAACTATATAGAGAGGGAGAAATGCTTACAATGAGAAGAAACAAAAACAGCTTTTTTTCACAGATGAAGCATTTTCAGAAGACGAGCTGCAGTCAAAAAATGTGACAGAGGGTCAATTTCGAAAACTACGGGCTTTAGCCGATGAGTGGATCAAAAAGAGTGAATATAAAGAGAAAGAGAGAGAGTGATATGAAGAGAGGAATGTAGAAAAAGGAATAAAAGCAAAAAAAAAGAAAAAAAGAACAATTTGACTAAAAAAAACAAAATAATACAAGAGGAGGCAGAGGAGAAGCTCAGAAAATTCAATGGAAATTACATGAAAATCACAAGTTCTACGCTTCGATCTCTTCACATTTCAACAATTGACCGTCGTTGACGGAAATTCATTTATACGCAAAGTTCTTCGTTCGCGAAAAGACGATTTGTGAAAGCTTTAATATGTGTTTTGTTTGAATTGTAAAGAATATATATATATATGTATATATCAGAGATAGCAAAACAAAATAAAATATTTGTTGGTAAACACATGATCGTCTTCAAATATTTTCTTTTTTAATATTAAAGTATCTGTGGTTGGTAGAGGATGAGGCAGCAACGAGATGGAGAAAATGACGAAAGCTGACGAACGGATAAGAATAAGGATGAGAAGGAGGAGGTAGGGCATTGAGTTGGAAGGAAGTGAGTGGAAGAGGGGGAAGACTGCTTTCTCGTCTATGTCTTTAATGGATGGAAAAAAGGAGGAACGATGGGAGGTATATATGTAAAGATATGAAGAGATAGGAGGATTGCCAACGGAAATAGAGACAGCGACGGAATGGTGGTCGCTGATCAGAAGGACAAATGATTTTCGACGTCGTCGGCGCTGTCGTCAGATTTGGTCATATGCAATTCATATGTAATAACATCATTATTTTAAAGAAAAAAGCGATTGGTCATGAAATATGAATGAAATGTTGATGATTTTGAATAAAAATGATCAAAAAAAAAGTTCAAAGAATGGATGTAGTTGTTTGCCAATTAAGCTTACAAAACGATAATTCGTCGGATTAGTTCTCAAAAGCGCATTGGTTGAAAGATACTTTTTGTTTTTATTTAAAAAGAAGAAAAAGAGAACGAAGTCGGGACGAAGTTGAAAAATCTTTTTTCAATGCTTAATTATAAAACATTTTCGTCAAATGTCCTCTGGAATGATTTCATAGCTTTTGCGTGCTCATTTTCCATATCTAGTTGCTTATCTATTCACGTCATTCTTCTCCTCCTTTTCTCTCTCTATCTTTCTTTCTCTCTCTCTCAATTTTCCTACTTTATTCTGTTTGAAGCTTCTTTTTTTCCAAACTTCTCCTCCTAACTCTGACATCTCTCAATTTTCAATTATGCTTCTTCATCACTTAGCCGTTACCTATTGAGAGCAAAGCTTGATCAGTCAGCGTCAGTCCATTCCATTATGCAGACGAAAGTCGCAGAAATGGAAATAATTGCCTTTTATGACTATAAAGAGGTTTTTCTCTCTTAATATGTGTATAAAAAAACAATATTCATTAGAAGAGCTAATAGGAGCAAAGAGAAAAATTGAAGGGAAAAGTTTTTTTCTGCTCTTTCTCTTCTAAAGAATCTTCTTCAGAATACAAATGGTGGCATGCTTGTTGCGAACTTAAAGTTCACTAAACGTCCTTCCATCTCTTTCTTCAGGATTTCAATATTGGGCTTGTTCTCTCAGAACAAAAAGAGGGAGAATGAAACTTTTAATTAATTTTTAAATTTCAAGTAAACGCAAAAAGAAAAAAAAACTTGTAAAATTCAAATGAACCATAGAGGGACTGATATATTGCGTGAAGGAGGTTAAGAGAGAGGCGCCTAAGAGCGAACCGTCAGACGGGAACTCAAAGTCATAGCGAAATTGAAAGTCAAAATCCAAACAACTTCCCACACAAAATGTTTATTTTTGAAAGTGAGAGAGGGAGAAAAAAAAATTAACTTTTCATCAAAAAATCTGTTAAAGGAAATGAGAGAGAAAGAGGAAACAAAAAGCTTTCCTCTCTCATAACAGACAAAGCAATATTTATAGAGGGAGGATGAGAAGAGGGAGGGGGGGGGTGAAGAGAAGGTATTGAGAGAGAAACAAAAAGAGAAACTAAGAGAGAGAGAGATTGAAGAAGTGAAAAAGATGTTCAAAGATGAAAAAGGAAATTGTTTGAAAAAAAAGCAGAATTTCCAAACTTCAAGTACAGAAATCATTAGAAAACTTGGTTGCTTTTCAAATAAATTTGTTGTTTGAGATACAATAAAGGAAAATACTTTTTTCTTTTCCTTTTTATTGTATATCAAACATTGTTTTTTGTTTTAAAAAGAAATGAACAAGAAAGAAGGAGGGAGAGCGAGAGAGAGGAGATAGAAAGGAGGGAGAGAAATAGGTAGGTAGTGGAAGAAGAAAAGGAAATGATCATCATCTCAGCTACTGCTTGTAGCTTGATGTGTATGTATGTGTGTATGGTGAGCAGAAGAAATGGAAAAGATAATGATGGAGGAGAAGGAGCTTACCTCATGAGCCTTTAGCAGATTCATTTCAACCAGTTTTCGATGCATATCCATTATGAATTTGGTCTTATTCTCCGATTTAATCATATTTCGAATGAGAAATATATCTTCGGGAGATGGTACCGTCTTCATTCCCATACTTTGTCTGGACGTTCTTTAGTTCTGCTGCAAATAAGAAGAGTGTGTTTCAGATAAAGAATAATGAAATACGAATAGATTGAGAACAAGACAGAAAGTATAGTTAAGAGAGGCTGTAACAGACGGAACTACCTTCACTCAAAGCTTAACGTTTTTGAGAAGAAAAACAATTTGAGAAGCTTCTTTTTAAATTAGAATAGAAGAGCGTAATACATAAATGAGACAATGAGTAGCGGGAGGGGGGAACAAGCTTTAAGCTTTTTTTTTCTGTTCAAAGGGTTCGAAATAAGGAGAGAGGGAATGTGTGTAAAGAGATAGACAGCAAATGTGAGAGATGTCAGAGATGAAAAGAGGGTAAGAGTTAGCACAGAAGGAATGATATGAATGGATGAGTTACAAGATGTATTTTCCAGCTTTCTCCCTTCTTTAAATCTTTTCTAAGCAGATAAGTCCTTTGTAAGGATTATTATATGAGATTTTGGTAGAGAGAAGTGTAAGCTGCCAACAAATCCTCATTTTTTAAATGAATTTATAAAAATTCTTTTTGATGGAAATAATTAAAAAAGGCATGAGTCTAAGGCAATTATGAAGTGAAAGATGAATTCATGTCACTCATCAAGCTCAAAACTTATAAAAACTTGTCAGAGTGGCACCAAATGAGAAGCTTAATTAGCATAAAAGTTCATGGGAAGATATTTTACGTGACTTTCCACGTGATCTTTGTCATTGCTGCTGTTTCATTTCCATATGCTGCAGAAACAAAGAGAGCGGTTGTGCATTTGGTGAGGTGAATATGACATATCAGAATTCTCTTCCTTCAATCATTATAACTCAAAAAGCAAAAAGAAAAAAAGGAAATTCAAAAGAAAAGCACAGAAAAGGAAGTTTCTCATGTTCCAGACGACAGAAAACTGAAATTTGTCTAGAAAGAAGAAACATAATATCTAGATTAAGCTTACTTTATATGATATAATCAACGCAATATGACTACTAACCATAAGAAGCTCCGCCCCTTTTCTCCCAAAGTTGCAATTTTATGAGAATATCGTCTGATTAATTATCTTCCTTTTCTGTCAATTAACTTTCATATTTTTTTTCCAAAATTCCTCTTTCCTTCCTCTCACACTCTCTCTTATTGTATTGTAGAGAATGAGAGAGAGAGAGATAGAGAGAGAGAGAGAGAGAGGAATCCTTTGAAGTTTCAGATCAAATGGGCAAATAGAAGACTGTCAAATATGGACTACTTCTCCGAAAAATAAGATAAAAAGTGAATGAAAAACAAAATAAAAAATATTTTCTTTTTGTGTTTCTGACTCTGAAGAATTGAAAATTAACTTTTGGATGAAAAAAAAGTACATAAAATGACAGATTTTGTGGACTAATTGAAGATTGCAATCAAAGGGAGGACATTTGGAAACACAAGCGAAACAGACGCACACACACACACACACCCACAAAGAGTTAAAGAGAGAGTAAGATAGAGAGAAAGTGAATATTTAAAGATATGGATATATATATGTATATGTATAGAGTGAAGAGAGAGGGAGTTATAGATAGAGAGAGAGAGTGATTGTTATTCGGAAAAAAAAGAGGCAAATTAAGAATTTTAGAGATGGAAAAGACATCTAGAAGGAAGATGACATTCCAGATTCATTTGAAGACGTAAAAGGAAGTCACGCAATAGATGATTAAAGGACATTCTAATTTGCATACTTCTAAAAATATTTTTTATTATAAATGAATTTTGTAAAATATTTATTTTTCCATTCGTTTTATATTAATTTCTGTTTTGAAATTGTGTATATATGGTGTTGTGTGTGTGTGTGTGTGTGTAGAGTTGATTGAAAATGAAGAAGGATGAGTAGAATGAGAAGATGAAGAACGAAGACGAACACGATGATGAAGACGAGAAGGGGAGGAGAACGGGAAGACGAACCCTCCCGACAAAAAGATTTTTTCATTAAAAGCTTATAATTAATTTTTATAATTATAATTTTAAAGTTTAAAAGTTTAAAGTATGAAATTGACTAAAGAATCAAGAATTAGACGTCAAGCTCTGGAAATAATTTATGAGAAGGGACGAGTCGTTGAAATATTAGAAGAGAGGATGACTTCAATGGTATGCAAGGTGACAAAGCTTTTTTTTCAAAACTTCAGTCTGAGAAAAATGATTGAGAGGGAGGGATTGAAAATGCGAGAGGTGGGGGAGGGGGGAGGAGAAGTAAGGAAATAGATGAAGAGAGAATGCAATGAGACAGAGTAAGAAAGAGAGAGAAGATGAAAAAGAAAAAAGAAAGAAAAAGAAATACAACCATTTTTGACGTCAAAATTGTTGAAAATGAAAGATTGGCACGTGTAATTTTACGTGAATAGATGGTTGTCTTGAATTCGGCCTAGCAACGGGATAATTCACCTGAGCTCCCACCCCCCATGTCAAGGAAAGTATCGAATTTACCGAAATATTTTTGAAAAACAAAATATTATTCTTAGATGTTTAGATGTTCAAACCAGAGTGTATAGCTGAGAGATGTTCCTCTCCGTTTTATATAATTCTTAAATAAATTGTTTAGAAAACTACGAAAAAAAAAGTGTGAAAAAAAATTCTTGTGAACATCAGGGTGTGTGCAGCAAGAGTCAGCAGAGATTCGTGTGCAATTAGCTTGAACGGAATTTCCTTAATTGTGTATTAAAATAGACAATTTCTCTTTTTTGTCTTAATTTATTCATGAACTTGTAAATCAACGTGAAGAATATGTATATCTGAGAAATTCATTGACCCCGAAAGGTTTGAAGCAACGAAAAAGAGAAAATACGTTCTGATGCCCGTTGGAGAGTCAAAGGCGAGGCATGACGTGATAATCCACGAGTACTTGGGGCATCTGACATCACACTTCTATTACCTTTGCAAATTTTTTTTTAAAAAGAAGAGAAATAGATAGATTGATGTAGAAAGAGAAGTATGAACTCAATGATAAGGAGAGAGAGAAAGAGGGAGGTAGGGGAGGACGAGAACGAACTGAGGGAGGTGAGGAGGAAATGAGCAAATTGAACTATCGATAAAGGTGAATCGAAAGAGGATTATGCTGATGAATTGCTGATTTTCACACACCTGGTAAAGGTTCGGAGTCAGTTGTCATTCGTTTCGGAAATGCCGAATGCCTTTGAGCAGAAGAAGTGAGTTTTTTTTTTGTTTCACACACAGAGAGAGAAAGATAGAAAAGGAGTGAGAGGGAGATAGATAGATAGATAGATAGATAGATAGATAGATAGATAGATAAAGATTATAAAAACACAAAGGAAAATAAGAGAAATACAAATTCTAGGATGGAAGCGGATGCTCGACGAACTCCATGGGCATCAATATGGATGACAAGTACAATGTTGTTGTTAGTGGGTGTTCAATACAGCATTTATTTTACTTCAACTTGGCAATATATAAAAGAAGTTTCATATATCCATTTTAATTTCCATATAAAAGCATAATTGAAGGTTGATCCAACAGCGACTTTAGATCATTTTGCTTTTATAATGGCCATAACAAGCATCGCTGGAGCTATGGTTTGACTCGTTCTTCTCATTCTCGAATCAGTAATATGCACATTGACAGGCAAATCCCTTATTTGGGTATTGGAACCAGAAGACAATGTCTACAAAACATCCCGTTTGCTTAGGATTCACCTTCTGTGCTATTGGTAAGACAAGAAAAAGAAAATAAAAAAAAACGAAAAAAAACGAAACGAATCGTATTTTGTAGGAAATTTAATGTATGGCCTTCTTCCGGCCTTTCCAGCAAATGCTGTGTACGTCGCATTAGTTGCTCGATTTCTGTGCGGATTCGGAAGTGGTAAGAGGAGATATGAATATGAGAAGCATGACTAGAAAGAGGAGGAACAACCGCTTTGCAACAGCCAATGATGATAAAATGAAAAGTGCACACTCAAATTAAGGTTTTCTATGTGGAATGGCCAAATTGACGGTTTTGGAGAAATTGAGAAGCTCACAACGAAAGTATATATATGATTTATCACGTGTATTTGTTATAAGAAAGAGCCAATCAACTCTTATTATAGGATAATTTATATGAAAAAGACTAAGAGAATGATAGAGAGTAATGAGAAAGACCCAAAAAGCCTTTTTCTAGAAAATAATAATCATATTCAGGAACACTAGGAGTTCTCAGAAGCTTTCTCGCTACAGCAAGTACAAAAGAAGATCGAATTAAGGCAATTTCTATAGGAACAGGGGGGTTGACATCTGGATTAGCCTTAGGCCCAGCTGTTCAAGTAAGCTTGTAATTTATATTAAAAGAAAAAAAAAGAAAAAATAATATTTTAAAATATACTAAGTAAAAATATAATCTTAAGATTTGTTTTCTTCCTATCGGCAATGAAGGGATCTATATTGGGCCAGTTCTCTTCAACATGTACACGACAACGGCTTTTTTCATGTTTTTTAAATTTTTTCATATTTGAATTATTAACAAAATTATTTTTGTACAGGTGCCTTGTTAACATAGTTTTCATAATTTGCATTCGTTTGTTCCTTGTTGAAGACTATGCTGGAATCATCAGTGATGAGTCGAAGAAGAGTAAGTCGCAACTGTCTGTCTTCTATTATAGATTTATAAATATATATATTTGCATACATATATATATATTTTCAATCAAAATATTAATTTCATTTATATTTTTGCTTTTTCCACAGGCGATCCATTCTTGATTATTCCGAAATTTGATAAGGTCGCTGTTGCCATCATGTTTTTTGTGTGGTGGATACTTTCTGGTGTTTCAAGCACACAAGGGTAGCCAAACAAACAGAAATGAAATTATTAATAAAAATATGTTTTTTTTAAGATTAGCGGCTCCAATAACCATGGCTATGTTCAATTGGACAAGTGAAGAAGCCGTTTTATACAACGGAATTATTCAATCCATTGCCTGTATGTGGTCAACAACCATGTACATCCTTTTCGGAACAACACGTCTGGGCCAAATGTAAAAATTATTTCATCTCTTCTCCTCCCACGTTAATTTCTGAAGTATAGAAGGACGATGACGATTACACCGGAATCTCATTTACTATTTTTTTTGCAGAGACAAACGATACTTATTAACTGCTGGTCTGACCTTATTCCTGAGCTTCCACTTGATTCATATTCCATTTCCATTTTATGATGGACCATTAGATCGTCCTCAAATTAGTTAGTAATTATCCTCATATTCGCATCATTCGCACTTTCCATTTATAGTTAATGGCACTGAGATGGATCTGCTCGGTGGATGCTCCTATAGATATGATTGGTGTGAAACGACCACAAGGTTCTTTGATACTTGTTGTCCCATTCTAGTGTTTGGCCTTATAGGGTTCCACTCTACCTCTATCTATTTGCTTTTTCAACTATTGTAGGAATAGGGTTTCCTTTAATCTCAGCTTCATGTAATTCCAAACTTTCTGAGATTATTGGACCTCGAAAGCAGGTAAGGGCACGAAAATATAAAGAGCAACGAGATAAAGCAATGAAAGATGAAAGATGGATTGAGGGAAAGCGAGAGAGAGAAAGGAAGAGGTGAAAGTGAGAACTTCGATTGAGAGAAAGAGAGAGTCGAAGAGAGATAGAGAAAGCTACATTATGAATTGAAAAAAGGAAAAAAAATTTTCAAGGGTTTTGTTACTGGATTAATGGCATTTACGGGATGTATGGCTCAGACAATGGTTCCTATCATAGCGTCGTGAGTATCGAAACGATCTAAAATCATCTAACGTTTGATGTTAAGACGTGTCTATGCAATATCAGGCTTCAAATGGATAATGGTTTATCATGTTCTATCATGTTCAACAGCTTTAATAGTTGTCATTGTATTCCGTAAGCGAATCATACCATTGAATATGAAACCGGATAAGGCTAAATACAAATCTGGCACTTTCTACCATTTGTAGAAAGTTCGTTTTCAGGATATGAAAAGAGAAAAAAAAGAAACTTTTATTTTTTCTAAAAAAAAATAAATAAAATCATGAAAATGAGATTTACAGGTTATTTATAAATTTTTATAAATATTTTATGATTTTTCGATCTTTGTACGAATAAATAGAATATTGAATTTCTTATTAATTAGCATATTTTAATTATTTACACGTGAACTGCGTGAACGTGAAAAGGAAACAAAAATTTTAATTTAAAATTACGTGGGTGCTGAATGAGCGGTTGTGTTTCAACGTCAGCCTTCGTTTTTTGATGATTGACATCAAGAGATGTTGATTTAACGAAATATTAATGGAAATTGACAAAATGGTAAAACAAACCTCTTTTTTTTGATGTTTTTTGTTGAAAACAAAAGTTTTTTCAAAAGTTTTAAGAGCACATTTGAATATTTGCTCAGGCGACATTCGTTTCATAAAGAGATTTTTGTTTAAAAATGATTTCATCGCAATCGGATGACCGTTCTGATAGACATTGACAGCGAGGAAAAGCTCATTCATAATGTGTATCATGTTTAAAAAACTATTTTTTCTGCTTAATCTTATTATTGGCACTATATCAGCAGAAGCTCCTATCTGTCATTTTGGATATTCTCGTAAGACAAGATGTTCAATGAGGCTTAGTGCTTGATTAAGCTTGTGATCCTCCGACCATACATGGCAACTGTTTGGAAAGCCCAGGAGAGCAATGCTATGAAGATGGTGCTAAGTTTGTTTTTTGCTGTAAGTTATGCTTCCTTAAATACATTGAATTGGGAAATATGAAGTCATTTAAGGTATTCGATCTCCAGATGAAACTTCTTCCATCCCAACAATTCCAACAACAATAGCAACAACAGTCATTTTTAGTTATAGTTTCAGCTATTTTTTGATATCACATTCAGACAGCTCCAACATCGTCAGTCAAGCCAAATATGGAATGCAAAGACTTATTGCCATGTTGTACAAAAGACTTGTGTCATCTGAGCGCTATGATGGAAGTTTGTCCAGTCACATGTAACGCTTGTACTCCAGAGACCATTAAAGGTTTGTTGAAAGAATACAAAAAGACAAAAGAGAATCATTGCGTTATCAAAGAATCCGTGGGATGTTCTGATCGAAGAACAAACTGCTGGCAGAAGAGACACTTATGTTTTCATAAAACACAAAAGCATTTTATGATGGAAAATTGTTATTTTACATGTGGCTATTGCAGTTTATGCGAAGATAAATCACAGTTTGTTACTGAATTGACTAACGTGTTGATACACATCTTTCCATATTCAGATGTTCTTCATGGGTTAAAAATAATTTTTGTCACAATCCCGCGCATTCCGTTCAGCACAAAAGAGCATTTTGCCCACAAAGCTGTGGCTATTGTGGTGCTAGACAGCGACATGCTACGCAACCTGTTGCATGTACTGATCATATGCAAAGGTATACGAGAACATTCAGAAGATTGTGCACAGATTTGACTTTTTCAGTTGTCCGTCATGGATTACAAACGGTTTCTGCACAAGTTCATTCTATTCATTACAAATTCGGAAAAAATATTGCGCAAGAAGCTGTGGACTATGTGAAGCATGACGATACCTTCAAATCCAAATTATTTATTTTTAATAATGAAACAAATGAAAAATTCATAAAATTCATCTGAATAATTAAATATTTCATCGAACTCAATCTGTTTTTATAAGAACAAGGAACTTGATGCTTTATGAATATGTATGAATGAAACCAATCACGTAAACTTTCATTGTTCGTTTGATCTGCCAAATGAGCGGTCGGTTTTGTTTATTTATCATCTGATCAGGCTATTAAGCGGTTGTTCTTTAGTCATAAACAGGACAAACAAATCATATAGAATCGCATATTTTTATTTAAAAACTATGTAATACAGTAGAAGATCTTTAGTTGGAGGAAAAGTTTCGTAAAGGCAAAAAATCATATCGAATGATGTGGCGATTAGGACATGGACTTCGATCTACGGGTACGTCGATCTACACCTGTAAATGTTAAAATAAACTTCAATGAGGCAAACAGAACCATGCTGGAAACTCAGAAAAAAAACTAATGGAAAGAAAAAGCGAAAAGAGAGAGGGAGAAAGAAGACGTACCTTTCCAGTTTGACCGTGATGGAATGTGTGGGATTCGACGCCACCATGGCCATATCCTCGTGGTCCGAAAAGTGCACCGTAACATCTGTTACAATAAGGCTTTCCATCTCGCTGAAACAATAAGAAAAAAGTTTGAATGAAAGCTTGTTATGTTAAACCTCTGAATGGGAGCCAGCAGCTAAAGTCCTCTTACACGCTTCATTTTCACATCTGAGACATGGACGATGCCAGTCTTTTCCAATCGACGTTACTCTTTCGGCTGAAAAAAAAGAAAATGGTTACATAAAGGCAGTGATGAATGTAAAAGTGTGTAAGTAAAAAACTAACCGAAATAAACAGCTTTGTTGCAGCGAGGACAGTTGGGCATGATGAGGCTTTCAAAAATCTAAAATAAGCAAACGAAATGGGGTTGTCAGGCATCAAAAAACAATATTTTATTTTATCAAGATTGTCGACGAACGAAAGTGTTTTTTGTATAGAAGACAAGTTTGTTTAGAAAGATAATTTGAATGACCCATTAATTACCAAATAAGGACATACAAACAACATTTACAAAAATGAAAAGAGAAATGTTCGAAACTCTCAAATCGATAGCGTTGAAATAAAAATTTTTTTTTAATATGTGATGGGAAAAGTAGTGGAATGCATGATTCGAATTAGTTTCTGAATGAAAGAATGGACATGGAAATAAACAAAAATTGACGAAAAAAAGGATGATGGGAGGATGAAATCTTCCAATTTGAAATGACAGGAATATCCCAAAGGCAGTGAAGATATTCTAATGGACGTATAGGATGATGGAATGGATGAAGAAGAAAAAAACATAGTCAAACAGCTGGAGCGGACACTTTTGACTATTTGAAATTAAGGAGGAGGGTTTATAAGTCGGGCGACCCTCATGTGACTAAGAGATTGGCCTTGAAAGGTTGCAAAATTTGTTCAAAGTGAAACAGTGCTTATTGGAGAATTAAAGGGAAGAAGTTTCGAAACGAAATTGAGGACTACCCTCAGACTTCATTTAATTGAGACAGGAAAGGAGATAAATAAGAGGTGGAAACAACAAATTTACAACTGAAATGACCTGCTGGTGAGATAGAGAGGAGACAAGTGAACTTTCAGAGGAACGGATTGGGTTCAAATAGAAGGGGTGGAGAGTAGGAAGGAAGAGCAAACAGCTGTCAATCTGGGATAAACACTCCTTTTGCAAGATTGACAGCAGATTCATCAACAAATAGTCGAAAAAAGGCAAATCCACGAGTTACATTAAACTACCGTATGTGGTATCTAAGGTGTGAACCAGTTTCAATAAGAAAACAATGGGTTATTCAAAAATGAAATAGTTGATGAGAGCATATCTTTGAAGCAATTCACTTCTGACCTTCAGGATTTAACAACTGAACGAATGTCAGATGTTTCAATCCTTTTTTCGTCATACCAAATAGGCAATGTGATCAGAACTTTTAATGATTTCACAGCGGAGGTTTATGAATGGTTAATATGAAGATTGAATAGATTCCTCGATCATTGGCCAAATACCAGAAAAACAGGGCTGGAGAGTCATATTACAGCCCGTAAATGGCAGTAGGGAAAGGATTAAGCCTCTCCCCGTTTCTTCATACAAACGGCATTCTCATTGATTGACTGAGAGAGAAACCTCAATGAACTTGTCCGTTTGGAGCGGTGATCAAGCCGGTTTCTTGAATATTGGCATCTTGCCAGATAACAAAAAGAGAGAAAAGTGAAAGAGAGAATAGAAAAAAAAGTATTTGAATGAATAAAAAAGCTTTTCTCTGATGAAAGAAGTAAATCCTCAACACGCATGATAGTAAAAGAAACGGAAAAGACGATGGTAGGCCACCAGAGACCATCTATGTCACGCTCATCCAACCAGTTTTCCTGAATTCACTCTCAAATTTCTTAAATGGAGGACGCTTTTTTCCTCTTCTCAAGAAATTTAATTGAAATCTTACCTGAGGCTGAGAATATGGCAGAATCAACAACGACCGCCACACAAAATATATCAAATATCATCAGAATTATCTTTCGGAATCCGATTACCATCCAAAACATGTTCAACGAATGTGAAATATTCAAATATTACCAATAAATTCATTTTTATTTACGTGCATATAATCACAAAAACGTTTGGCTCCAAAGTAGATCAACATCAGAAGAGAAACGAATTGATTGAGTTATGGCGTGATTAGTTCAAGTTGGAATTGATCACAAACTCCAACAGACTACTGTATGGAGCTCATAACAGAATTTACTTGTGCAAATTAGAAAAAACACAGATTTTGCTGAATCTTTCAGATATTTGTTTCAATTCTCTTATTTCCCTATACAGACCTAGGATCACATGTCATCATAAGCTAAGCAGCAGTCGCACTGTGCCACTTCCAGCTCTGCATATCTTACAGACCGTTGTCAACATCGTAAACTCATACAAGACTTTTCTCTTTATAAATTCACATTTCCATTTGCACGTTTTGCATCAGCACATGTTTTCTCGTCTGCATTTCTTCTATATCTTCATTTGCTTGTTTCGGGACTCTTACAACATCTTTAGCAATTCACTTAACTTAGCTACAGTATTACAGTTCATGTCACCAGAAGAATGCCCAGTTATCAGTCATATCATGGTCACTCAATGCTCTTCCTTTTCCACTCTGGCTCATTGTTTTTGATTTTAATTGTCACATATCTATATAGGATCTCCAACAGAACATAGTTTTAAAATAAAAATGCGTTGTTGCCATGTCAGGCGAATGAGTTTGAGCAATAGAAAATAAAACAAAACCTATTTACAAAGCACAAAATAAAAATAACTCAAAAGTTATGTTCCTAAGAAGTAGAATATCCCTAATCCTTCATTTGATTCCTAATTATTTATCTTTGTTAAGAGTCGATCGTAGTTTGTTAAAAATGGGAGTAGGTACCTTTCGGCTATGTAAAGGAGTGTCTGGAACTCTGGGAAGACAACCCGCTGTCGTCTAAATATGGACAATTCAAATATTCAAACTTTTTTCCCATACACTTACAGCTATTGGCGATAAAGTGGACATTAAATTTGTCCGGTTCGTTATTACGCCAGGAGTTGAATTCAAATTTGATGGGAAAGCATTTCTGGTAACAATAGGTGATTGGCCTGATAGCGATGTCCGATACATCATCACTGCAAACAAATAAACTTGAACGAAGATATGCATAAAACTGACTGTTTTGTAAAGTACTTAATGAGTTATTTGATTTAGCTAATTCTAATTTGGTCGCCTCAAGTTCTGCTCCAGTTTTTTGCAGTTGTTCTTTACTTTTGGACAAAACGCCTGAAATGTGAAAAGTAGTTGAAATAGCTAATTACTTCCTCTGCAACCTGTTAACTGTTGAATTATTTCATCTTTATCTTTCAACTCTTTTGATAATTCATCCAATTTACTAGCATCAAAGCTAACGACATCGGGCTGAAACTCATGAATTAGCATACTCCTCGGGAATTTTTATTTTTGCAAGTCTCATTTTGAGTTTTCTGCAAACGCACGAGCGGTTGCATTCTATTTAAAACTCACACAAGAGGAAATTGTTTTTACAAAAAAAAGTCACCTTCAAATACTTCTGTAAGATATGATCCGACTTCTGTAATTGATCTTTCAAGTCACCAATCATAGATTCTAGTTCTACTTTCTGAAAGTCCAATTGAGGAACATCCAAAGGAATGCGAACTCACCTCTTCAGTAGTTTCCTTCAAATCATCTTCTAAAGCATGTCTCTCCAAATCCCAATCATCCCTTTCACGTAAAAACTCATCTATCTTGAATGATATTATAGTATTAAATAAAATTTACAACGAACCTCGTCGTTGAGCTTCATCTTGTCAGCTTCTAGCTCTTCCACTCTTGTCATTAAGTCTTCATTGGTATCTCTCAGTGTTTCCAATTCGGCACTTGTAATCTGACAATCGTTTTCAGCCTCCATCTTCTTCCTTTCTAACTCATCATTTTCTTCTTGCAAATGTTTTATCTGGAAGCTCGGAGTAAGGAGAAGCCTACACATAAACCGAAACCTCTCGTTTTAACGAAGACAATTCTTCCGTTTGTCTTTCCAACTGTGTTAAGAGTTCATTTTTTGACTCTCTCAGCTCCTTATAATTCGATTTATAAGAACTTAGAGAAGTTATGCTCCGCTTAAAATGGGAAATAAAAAAAAGGAAATTTGTTATTTTCCTACCCGCAAGTGACGAATTGTATTCATCAAATGTTGTAATAATGCTTCTCCCGTAACAATCGTCAACTCCATTGGCATTCGAGCAATATAGAAATCTTGTTTTTTTGCAAATTCAAAACTAAAACAATATTCATAAAGCTTTTTGGGAATTAAGACCCACGTGCAGTATGTCCTGTCTAAAGACAAAACACACTTAAGCTGAGTTGATTGTCCAGCATCGGCTTCCTTTATAATTCGACTTAGAAGAACTTTGAAGAAATCTTCAAATTCACTTTCGACATTCCATTTTTCCGCTAAAACCTGGAAGAGTGACAATGAAAAAACGATAAAGTATATCGCACCTGATATTTCTGTCGTGTTATTCCCTCGCCGAAAAGAAAAAGAAAATCATCGGGATGACTAACTTCTACACGAAACTCCTATAAAAGATGTTTCGTAAATTATAAAGCTGATTATCACACTTTCTCGTTGTTATCAAGTTTCCTCTCTTCTATCTTTAGAAATAACTCTTTTGAAACAGGGACAGCACTGGAAATTTCAAGGTAGTTTCAGGACGATAAAGTATTTCTTACCTTCCTACGTCATCACTTTTCGGTTCAAGTACAGTTACTACTACCTTTTGGTTAATAATTATTGGATTTTCTAAAACACTAGCAGAATTTGACATCCTAAACACTTAGATTCTATTGCATAAAGCAACTTAATGCAAATGAGGTGATTCGAATATTTCAACTTCGCGGTATTATTGTCCGTCACTTGAAGACTGCGTTGGAATTAATTCCGACAAGGCCATTGTTTTCCACAAAGAACGTTTCTACTCATATTAATGATGTGTGTATCAAGTATACTTTGTAAGATAATATTTATTAATTTGTACTTTTACTATGACGAATTAGAATAGCGAAAACAGTTTTCTTAAGTCGTTTCAATGTCTACAGGAGTTGTATCCAAATCTACTTCCTCTGCCATTAAAAGAGAAGCCAAATGTGACTCCCCCAGTTCTTTGACATAAAAAGCTTTTTTAATCATTCGATTGTTTCCCTGGAAGCCTGATTGATGTTTTCGAAACAAAAAATGTTTCAACCTCCCATTCGAAAGATTCCTCTAACGAGAGTTTCCATTCCTTAGCTGCTTCTTGTAGTAAATTTTGTATTTTGTTGTAATTTGGGCGATCATAAAAACTTTAAAAGCTGTTGTTCTCTGGTATATGGGTTTGCTCACGACGCTTCATCGATGATGTTCAAGATTTGATTGAATTGTGCAGGAATGTTTCGGAGAAACTCATTTCTTTTCTCGTTTCGGATGCTCTTCTTCCAATTTGCAATTAGTTGATGATCTTTATGTCCATTAATAGAACTCCATGGTAACGGACCTGAACTATAATTTGGATATGAATTAAAGACAAAATCAAACCTTTGAACAACTCGACGGCCATATAGAACCAACTTTCTAAATCATCCTTCCTGCCTTGATCCTTGTGCTCATGGCTGGCTAAAGATGTGTATTGGAAAGTCCCCAACAGAGCAGCCGACGATCTTGCTGGGACAATAACTTTATTTGCGGTTCTTACGATGAATTAATATTTCAAAATAAAAAGTTGGCTGAAATCTTACAAGTATTTTCGGGAGAAACCAAAATCCAACATATAAATAAGACTTGTCTCCTGCCCGACGCCAATTGCAAAATTGGGTGCTTTGATGTCTCTGCAAAGTTTTGTAAAATAAAAAGGAAGTTTTTTGAAGAAAGAATAAACCGCGACAACCATCCAGCGTCATGTAAAGTTTCAATTCGCATCAAAGTTTGTTGCAGAATTCTTAATGAAGTACTTGCAGAAAATCTGAATAGAATTATAAAATAAGTTGTTGATCGCACTCTAATACTTTTTTTCCTTCAACGTTCTCCGTAATTTGCCAAGATCGGGTCCTATCAATTGCATAATGCAGTACCTTGATAGAAGAAGTAGGCTTTAAAAGGAAGTATAGGAGACCTGGTAAAGTTTGTCTGCCCTGAGGCGATGAACTTCGGAAATCCGACAACACCTTTAAGATCCATCAAAACTAAAACGTCTAATCGAAGGACAGGTCTGAGTAATAATCATAATAAACGCTTGAAATATGAAAGCAACCGCGAATTCCCTTCCTGCTTTTCTGTTTTCATAGCATACTCTTTGTGATTAAGATTGAGAGCTGAGACGATGAAAACATCTGAGAACGGTCCTTCGTATATGTGACGTAGAATTTTGAACTTTCCCTGTATGGTGTGTTCCACTGTTTTTCCAACCTGAATTCCTTGCTTTTAGAAATCAGAAATAGGTAAAAACAAACAGATAACTCTTTCATTGTTTGCAGAAACACAAACGCCCACTTTTCTTTTGAATTTTGAAACAAATAACTTTCACGTTTTTCACGTTTTTTGTCATTGGCGAGTCATTATGCTAATGAGGTCAGGTGCAATGAAAGAATTTTGAAACTTTTTTTTTTCAGCAAAAATGAGATATGCAAAGAGAGAGAAAGCAAAATATGGGGAGTGACTAGAGAATGAAAATTTGCATAAATTAGTAAAAACGATTTTGTGTATAACTCCCTATTGATTATATGCTTTTTCGGGAATGAAGTTAAAGTTCGTGGATTGAACCAGAGTGAGAGAGACCAACCGCTTCGATCGCTACATATGATTGAAATGGAAAAAATACAGTTTTGAAATAAACAGTTCATTACCCGAGGCACTGCCAATACCAAAAGAAAACATAACGTCACTAACAATATTAAGCAAAATATGTATCATGTTAAATAATAAAGTAAATACTCATAGGTATTTCTTTCTGTACAAGAGAGGGAAAGAGTGAGAAAATACATTTGTAAGAAGAGTCATTTGATTTTCTGCATACTACTCATCGATACCAACGATGATCCATGAAAAACCAAATGAGAGACGTTGTCATGATAATTACGGAGAATTTCCTATAAAGTTCAAAGTTTAAGAACTGTTCAAAGAGACGTATAATTACCCTATATGGATCTTCTTCAATTTCTTCTGTAGAAGTGCTACTGGATGAACTGTTTCGCGAACAGGCAGCTGGCGTCTCTGAACGTTCAGCAATTCTGTAACAGAAAAAAAAGATGAATAAGATTGAAAAACAATAGATTGGTAAAGTAATCAGCTGTATAAGTTAGCTAACTTACTTAATGCTTGAGTTTGGCTTTCCTAATAGTTTTTCCGAAATAGATCTTTTCAATGTCTTCAAGTTTTTCTGAAGCATCTGAAATGCATACGAATGAATGATGATGGAACAGCCGATCAGAAAACGGCGAACAGAAAAAAAAAAGTAAAATTTTCATAATGAACGTGGTTCAAATGATATATAACTATACGTACCAGACATTTCGGAATAAAACATTCACTAATAAAGTTTGATAAAGAATTACATGTGATCATCAGAGAGAATAGTTGATAAAAAGACGTCACAAATACATCTGATTTGTCTTCTTTTTGTTTTAAATTTTTCTGACTAAACTTGTCGATTTATCGTCGTTCTTCTATCGAACTTGACGTCATTTCAAACGATTTTTATATATTTTCTGTGTACATAATGCGCTTGAGTTTGATGAAAGTTGGGATGTCCAACAACTTTCCTTCTCTCTCTTGTTGAATACAGAAAAAAATAAATATTTTTATCACTCTTTCTTTGAACACATTTTATTCTCAAAAATATGAATAGAAAATCGTTTTTGGCTAGATGTGAGGCGGAACGAAAAAAAAAGAAGTCAAAAAGAGACAGAATCTTCCTACAAATTTTTGCCCTCAAGCTATGAGATTTAGCATAAGAAAGCAAAGAACACATTTTTGGGAAAGCTTTTCCTTTGCAAACGATCATTATTAGGTAAGATATTTCCGTTCAACGTCACTCCATAAGGGATGATGAAGAAACATGGAGATAGAGAGAGAGATTGAGTGACAGAAACACAAAGGCAGACAGAAGATAGGTGAGGGAAAATATTAAAAAAAGGGATTCCAATCGTGACTATGATTCGCCATGTTTGGAAACTTAAGCTGGAAGTGGCAGCGTGAGATTGTGACGTAAGCATGTGAGATTTGTGCAGATATGTGATAAGTTGGTGTTTGAGCCGACATTGATCGTGCGCAAAACGTTTTGGAAGCATGAAGAACACAAAAAAAAACAATAAAACAGCATTGTTGATAAGACAAGGAGAGTTGAAGAAAAAAAAATATGAAAAAAAACGGAGAGAAAGAGAGAGGGAGGTCGAAAAAAGGTGTGGTTGAGGACGAAAAGGAACTGACTTTTCGAGATCGATCCAAAAATGGAATGTGAATGAGAGGAAAAGACTGGTTTCTGAGATTTAGGAGTTAAAAAAGTAAAGAAAACTGAGCGTTGAATAGATTTGAAGAAGGCTAAGATAGATATCACATTATCTGATATAAGTATTATTATGAACGAATTATGTGGTAAATTGATATTCTGGTCGAGTATAAGCTGAGATTTATAAGAAGACGCAGAAGAATGAATGGATTTTGATAAACAACTCTCACTTTTATGTAAAAAGAAAAGAAAAGAAAAAAGTAAGAGGGAGAAAGAGAGAGAGATAGAGAGTTAGAGAGAAAGTAGTATGAAATTGGAGAAGCGAACGATTTCAAATGAGTTCAATTCAACATCCTCAAGTGTGAAAAATCAGTAAATGACAAGAAGATTCAGAATATGGGACTGATGAGAGTAACAGAGAACGTGGACACAGAGTCATATACAGCTTCTCGATTGACTAATGATTTCGATTATATGTCGAAGGAGGGCAAATGAATGAATGAAATAATAATAATAACGAATAGATGAAAGTAAACATCAAAAGTTGTGTATGTGATTGTTTTGCCAAAAACAATATGAATCTCCGATAGGAAATTGACGGCGGTTTTTTCTTATTTTGTTAGTATTATGTATGTGAGTGTGTATGTGTGTTGGTTGAAAGAAAATTGGTAAACGAACAAGCCTAACTGACCATCGAATGATCCAGTTTTTGGGAGTCTTAAGTCGATTCAATTGGTAGGCAGTCAGTGGAACAAAAAAAATGAAGGAACGTATAGGGGGTGTGTATAGAAGGAAGGAAGGAAGAAGAAGAAGGGAAAAGTCATGGAAATTTTAACGAGTTGGCTTTGTCTATCTGGCCGATTAGAAGGTATGACGTCTGATGGACACACATACACACGCATACATATATAAGATTATAATTGGCTTCGTTCTTCTAATAAGCTTGTACATAAACATATTTTTGTGTCATGAATATTGTTAGAAGCAGCCGAAGGAGTAGTAGCGACAGCAGCAGCAGCAGCAGCAGCGGCAGGCAAAGATGATGATGATAGAGAAATTTTCTAATTATTTGCAAATTAGTCACTAAAGCTAATCTATTTCAATCAAGGAATGCATGGAATTAATAGAGAAGATTCACCTGATGTCAAAATTGTTTTTGCAATGCCCAAGCCCTTATTCAACTAGTTTTTATATGTTCAAAATGATTTTTATTGTCACGAAAATGATGTTGATGATAACTATGATGATAGATGCTCTCAATCAAAACGTTTCTTTGATGTACATGTATACGTAGCCGATTACATCAATAAAAAAAAGAAAAAGAAAAAAAATGCATATGTATGTATGTATTATATGCTAGTATTTTTTATATTTTATTTTTATAAATGGAAATAGGAAGAATGGAACAGCTCATTGAAACAACCGATCTGCACATCAACTAACATGCAACTACTGATCTATCATCATCCATTTGCCATTTGAATACCGATGTATGTACGTGAAAGTCACACGTGAATATGACACGCGTCAGCTATCAGTTTTCATTTTTGTAAGACAGATTGTGGGAAATGAAAATTGATCAGTGAAATGATCAAATGACCATCGACGAGATGATGTTTGAACATAAAAAGCGGCACACCCATTGGAAGAAAAAGTTGAAAGTTCATGAAACATTCGTAAAAGATTTAGCGAAACAGACATTCAAAGAATGTAATTGAGCAGAAAATACATTTATAAGAAGGAAGGAGATATATTCAGATGAAGTACGTAGAATAGATAGAAGAAAGCTTAAAATAAATATTCTAATTAAGACATTTGAGAAAGGGTGAGAAAAAAAAGAATTTTAAATAGTTTAATGAAATTAAAGGGCATGTTTTGGGTTAAGGATGGGACACGAAGAGAGTGAGATAGAGAGCGAAAGGAGGCGGGTGTATCCCTGAAGACGGGTTTTCTAACAAGCTTCTGATGCAGTTGTTTTGTCGTCTTCACAGGGAAGCAAACCTAAACTTCAACAAGGATCCATGCGCCTTTTCAGATCAAAACTTATGACAAAAAAAAATTTTTTTTTTTTTGAAAGGATAAAAGAGGACAATGGCGGGGTCAGCTTGACTGCTTTGTTCTGAGACAGCGGGTTGCAGAAAACAAAGTTTTTAGTCAGGTGAGAAGCCATGTGAATATATACGGTGTGAGAGCAGCTTATTAAAAGAAAAAAAAGAAAATGTTTGTTGAGAACAAGTTATGTAGATGTCCTTTTAAGGTTGTTCCATTAGGACAAACAACTACTTGTATAGCAATGATGTGATGAAGTTTATGATTAAGAATTTTTTTTTCAAAAATGTAAAAGAAAGAGAGAGAGAGAGGGGTGAAAGATGAAAAGAAGGAATTAATAGTGTTGTCTGTAAACTATGGAAGGATGACTGGACCGATAGACAGACGGACAAACGTACGTACGGACAATGAGTGCCAAATGGTTAATGAACAGCAACGAGATCTGTGTCGAAAAATGAGATGGAAAATACGAAATAATTTGCAAGTATTTAAGCATTTTTCTTTCCTTCTCATTTATAAGGAGTGCAGAGAGATAGAGAGAGAGAGAGAGTAAGGGGGAAGGGGAATAAACAAAAATCTCAAATTTAAAGGGCTAAAAACAGAAATTGTTGGTGTCAATCTTCTTCTTCTGTCGCTGATATTTGATCGGAGAGAGAGAAACGTCTAAGAATAACAGAATTTATTAAAAGTTGCTTGTTTTACACACCAAATTGTCATTTGAATCTTCGAAAATATTAAAAAAAAAAAGAATTGTGTCAAACGAAGAAAATATTTGATCAAATTTCATGCAAAAATGAGGAGAAAAAAATTTTTTTTTGTATCAGTTACTCTCAGTCAATGACTCTCTTCCTCCTTTCTGTTTCTGTGTATAGCTCAGTCGTTCTGTATCTTGTGCAAGATCGTATTGAGCAATAACAGAGAGAGTTCTATCTATAGTTATCAGTAATGACGTACGATGATCGGTTAGATGAAGATTGAGATGATGAATTGATAAGTTAATTGAAAATTGTTGGTAAGTTTAATAGGAAAAAAAGGTTTTAATGTTTTTGATGCAATCACGCAGATGAAAAGTAACAGAATAAATATAATAAAGAGATTTTGCTTCAAATCAACAGCGAAAAGCGAAAATGCATCAGCGAACCAACAAACTTTTCATTTTCTTTTCTTTTTCCGTTTTTTCCTCATTTTTCAAGAATGGGGAAGAGTGGAGATATGACGAAGAGAGTTGACAGATAGAAGAACTGTGTGGGAACTAAAGTGTTTGTCCATTTAGCTAACTAACCGATCATCATCATCATGAAGCTTAAAACTTCAACTTGTGCCAGCTTCATAAACCGGACTACCGACTGTTTGTATTGTATAAGAGCGGAAAAATAGAAAAAAATAGAATTAATAAAGAGAAGCAATAACAAATTAAGATAATTGAAAGAAGCAGAGGTTGAAGATTACAGAAAATGACAAAGAAGATGGAAAAAGACGAAACAAAAAAACGGTTTTTTGTTTTAATAAATATTTGAGTATAACCGTTCCGGATTTCGATGACAAAGTCAACACGAAATTGGCTAGTCGATCATAGTCATCGTGAAAACGTGAAAAGATCTTTAAGAGAGATAGTAAAGGTATTTGAAACCAGATTAATGAAATAAACGGAAAAACCTTATACATCTGTATGTATTTTCCAGCAGCAACTCATTCTCTAACCTTTGATCTTTGAATAATCAAAAAACGACCAAGAAATATCTCTTCTTTCCTTTTTATTATTATTATTAATAATGAATAGGCTCTTGTTTTTCCCGGAAATTTAACTAAAATAAACAAATAAAAGAAAAATAAACTAAGAAAGAGCAGAAAAAGAAAAAATACTTCAAGTAAAGATGAAAAACCTCATCTACATGTCTATGTTAATTAAGAACATTTATATTGTAATTGATAATAATTATGATGAAAATGATATTTTTACAACTGATATACATCTATAACATGCTTATATCAATGTGGGATGAAGGAGAAGCATGAGATGAAACATGAGATGTGCGATGATTGGACAACGCCATCGGACATGAACGAACTGTTTAATATGAGAATACGAAAAAAAGACAAAAAAACGAAAGTTTTTAATGTATTAATACTAACATATGAATAGAAAGCTTATACATAATGTATTGGAAAACAAACTATTTTTTATGAAAATATCTTAATTATGCAAAGTATCACAAATAATTCAACAAAAAACGTTATGCATGATGAGGTATGGCAGAGAGGGTAGGCAGAAGAGGAAGGAAAACGTATGTATGATGATGATATCTCAGATTAGTCCTATTAACAACGCCATATTGTACTTTAATGAAGAAGATATTATCAGCTTTTCTAATTTTGTCTTTCTTTTTTTTCTTTTTTTTTTAATTCTATTTTAAAAACAAGATGATAATCTTTGTGGGACCAACAACAACGACGACGACAGCAGCAGTAGCAGCAGTCGAATACGTCGTCAATTGAGGAGTGAAGAGAATGAGAAGTGAGAGAAGGGAATCTCATGAGAGATTTTTAATTTTTCTTATCATTTCTCTCTTTGTTCTCATTCATTTCTATAATTTTTTAGTTAATTATACAGAAAATGGTCTTATCAGATTATGGGGCACGTGCGAAATCTATCGAGAACACATCAAACCACTGAAGCTGCCAATAATTCCAATTTAATTCATTATTTTTCTCATCCATTTAATATTTAATTTTATAGAAGATGGTTGCTGTTGATCATTATCCCGAATCATCACAAGTGTCAGATGAACAGAAGCAACTCATCAATGAGCTTAGATCAAGAGCTCAAGATATTCTTAAGCTCTATCCTGAATATGACACAGATTTTTCATTATTGAGATGGCTAATGGGATGGGATAATGATATTGGTCTGTGATGATTTAAAAAATTTTTTCAAAAAAAATATATTTGCGTGATTCAGATGTGATTCTTCCAAAACTTGAAACAGCTATAAGAACGTTGAAGAACTTACATTTGGATGAAGTTAAAGTAGATACTCCAGAACAGATTAACACTCATATTCGCTCTCTTACTGATTGTGCTGCCTACTTTCCAGGTATGCAGCATTTTCATTATTTGCATATGTATTAAGGGACAATCCATTTTTGAGCAAAAATTAGTTGAGAACGGTTGTTCTTATCGATTCATTGAAATATCAAATGACATTCCTTTGACAGTTTTATTCCAGGTGGATTGTTGGGACAAGATGATGAAGGAAATATTATATTCATGCAAGCATTAGCATCAGCTCATCCAAAAACCTTAGTTAAGGGAGGATCAGTCAATGAGCTATTTCATTTAAGTATTGCGGAAACGGAGTTGTCGTTCAAGCTAGTGCGGTAAGCATAGAGGAGCATATCGTTCATCTTCAGAAGCTCTTATAACTTATAGTAGAATGGAAGAAAAAACGGGAAGAAAGTTAGGAGTCAAAATCATTATGGATTTGGATGGATTCAATAAGGATTTGCTTTATCCAGCAACATTGAAAATATATATGAATTTGTTAACTGTATTACAAGTATGATTGATTAACTGATCATATGGTTAAGTTCAATATTATGCTTTTAGGATATCTTTCCTGACTTCGCTCGTAAAATCTATATAATCAATCCTCCTATGATGATTCAAACCGTCTATACTATGATTTCTCCCGTATTATCAAAACAAACAAGAGAAAAGGTAAACAACGAATCAGTTTGTGAAGATGAAGAAAAGAAAACTATTATTAGGTGAATTTCTTGGGATCTGATTGGAAAGATATTATACTTACTGAGGTTATTATTTTATGAAAATGAGAAACTCTGAATATATAGAAACGTTTAGCTGGGTGCACATAATGTATATTCACATTGGGGAGGCACGAAAGAATCTTCTAGCCCAACTGGAGATATCCGAATGGGAGGAAAAGTGCCTGAGAAACTATGGTCTAGAATGATAAGATGAGATCAATCAATAATCTATTCATTTCAAGGTATAATGCAGAAGATAATCCAGATGATGGAGAAAAGAGTTTGTTCACGAAAATAAGCATTTCTGCTCGTTCAGCTGAATCTGTGAGCATTTATTAAAGATATTCCCATTACATTATTACATTACAAAGGTGACCGTCAAAGGAACTAAAGGAAAAGCTATACGTTGGATATGGAAAGTGAGTAGTGGTGACTTGGATTTCTGGGTGGAGCATGAAGAGAAAGAGGTATTATGAGAGATAGTTATATAATGCATAAAGGCGATTAATTGAAGGTATTCCCAAAATGGCGATTATCAACGGAGTTTGTTCCGGAAAAGGGTCAAATGATATGTCCAGCTGATGGTGAGTATGTTTTCTTCTTCAGTAACAAACACGGAAAAATCTTTGGAAAAGATGTCAAGTATCGTATACTTCCTGAATAATTATTTTTTTACTCTCTCCTACATATTCAAAATATTTTTATAACAGTGTATTGTATTGGGTTATCTTCGTATTCTTCTTTACTAATTCTTATCAATAAATGAAAGATTGTCTGACTAGGTTGTAGTCTAGTTCTTCAATACGTGTCCTTCTTGTCAGTTTGTTAACCATATTCGGTCATTTGACTTTTATTTCTTATTTTTTGTGTTTTATTATAATAAATATATATTTATTTCATTATAGATTTGTTTTTTTGATATTGTTAATAAGTTTTAACAGTAACAATGTCCACTCTTGACTTCAACAACAGAGTTGCCATTGTAACAGGAGCTGGTGGAGGGCTTGGACGTACCTATGCCCTTGACTTGGCCAAGCGAGGATGTGCTGTTGTTGGTAAGACGTTATTGATTAATTCATTTCTTTAAATTATTTTTTTAATCACTTCCTTCTTGTCTTTATTTCTTTTTTTTTCGTACAACACTTTTCAATCAATCACAATTATTTTCATCTTATCAGTCAGGAAAAAAGCTTTAGCAAAGTCTCCAGTTTGCTTTTTGATAACATCCACTCTTCAAATTATGCAATTTCATTAATTTTTCAAATATTTTTCAGTCAATGATCTTGGTGGTGATGCCCACGGAACATCCGCTTCTACTTCCATGGCTGACAAGGCAAAGCTCAAGATAAATATAATTAATATTTGAAGACCTCTTAAGGTTGTCAATGAAATAAAAAATCTCGGAGGAAAAGCTGTCGCAAACTATGATTCCGTTGAGTTTGGTGAGAAGATTGTCAAAACTGCCATTGACAACTTCGGCAGAATTGGTAGACCAATGAGTTCATAATGATCTCATTTCATTTTTTGCAGACATCGTCATCAATAATGCTGGCATTTTGAGAGATGTCTCTTTGGTTAAGATGACCGATCTTGATTGGGGTTCAAAACTCACAAAATCCAATTTGAAGAACTGGGTATTTCAGATTTAATCTTCAAAGTTCACGTGAAAGGTGCTTACTCTGTAACCAAGGCAGCTTGGCCATATATGCGTAAGCAGAACTACGGACGTATTCTTGTAACTTCCTCGAACGCTGGAATTTATGGAAACTTCGGTCAAGCTAACTATGCCGCTGGTACATTTAAGTCATTTGATAAACGTATATGATATTTTAAAGCCAAATCCGCTTTGATTGGATTTGCCAATACCTTAGCTCATGAAGGAGCCAAGTATAACATTTTGTCAAATACTCTAGTTCCAACAGCAGGATCTCGTTTGACTCAATCAGTTATGCCCGAGGTATGTCATCTCAACAATTTCAAAAATAAATAAAATTCTAGGACTTGGTTAATTCTCTCAAACCAGAATACGTTACTCCATTAGTTGTTTACATGGTTCATGAGTCTTTCGCCGAAAACGGAAAAGTTTTCGAAGCAGGAGCTGGATGGTATGGAACTTGTGAGTTGAACCTACATGTATCATGCTATTTGGGAATGTTTCAGTGCAGTACTACCGATCCAAGGGATCCATTATTCCTGGTGCAAAAGCTGAATGCAGTGAGTGATTCTCAAATTTGAATGTTCGAACATCATATTCGTAGTCAAAGAAAATTGGGGTAAAATAACCAATATGACTGGGGCTAAACACTTGGATACCATCAACGAAGGGCTCTCTGAGCTCATCGAAGCTTTGGAAGTGGCAAAGAAAGCTGGAGGCGTAAGTTAATTCAACCAATCCTCTGTGACTCTTCCGAAATGGTTCAGGCTCCAACAAGCACTGGTAACTCTGCTTCTTCTGGAGGAGACTTCCCTCCCAACATCAAGTCGAGCGCTCTTTTCCAAGAAATTGCTACGGAACTTAAGGTAGTAACTACACTTGTGTTCTATGTTTCAGGCTAAAACCTAAACAAAGCAAATATTTTCTATGAAATTTCAATTTTAGGCCGACCCAGCTCCAGCCAAAAAACTGAAAGCCATTATCCTTTACAACATCACTGATGGTCAGAATGAACTTGGAAAATTCAGTATGTTGAACTCATATTTTAGTTATTGAAAATTGTTCCTTTCAGCTCTTGATTTCAAGAACGAAAACCCATCTGTCTACTTCGGTGATGTTAAGAACGGAGAGAAGGCAAACACCACAGTCACTGTGAGCGACTCCGATTTCTTCCTCATTGGAACTGGTCAACTCAACGCCCAGAAGGTATACTCAATAGGCTAATCTTTGACATGTTTATCCTCAGGCGTTCATGCAAGGAAAGTTGAAGGTAAAGGGAAATGTAATGCTTCTGCAAAAGCTCCAAGGCCTGTCTGATGCTAAGAAGAAGTCAAAGTTGTAAATCGGATTGTGATTTCAATTCTGTAAATTTGATTGAACTGATTATTTTAAATAATTAAATTAGTAGAACCTATGTTGCTCTTGTTGAACAGATCAAAGATAACTAAGCCGGATTGAACTGTAGTGGGACATTGATCTTTGGTTTAAGAGGCCCAGTTTACCTTTTATAGAAAATGGTAATTGAGGAATAAGAAAGAGATCACATGATTGTTTCGGCTCATGTAGCAGCGTAAAGTTAACACGACAAAAAGAAAAATAAGGGCCATTGATAACATCAGTTGACCCAACATGGTTTATGGACGGTAGAATCTATATAAAGAAAATAATTGTTAGATGGTGCTATAGTAGTTTGAGGACTCGTTACATCTAAACTGTCCTCAAACAGGTTTTACATTAAAATTAAATTTTTATCCGTTTTAATACTTAGTAAACTTCCTTTTCTCATAGTTAATCTCTTATTATATACGATGGCTAATTCTATAAATGGCTATTTTTTCGATTCAACCAGACCAAAACATCCAGTGATGAAGTTAGAGACTGCAAAGGAACCCTCTCCACTTCTTGAAACCGTTCCTAATGCTACTGCTGACAAATCTGAGGAGCACAGCTTTCGTAACTACGAGGAAGATGCTCTGACTCCTGTCCAAAAACGAGTCAAAAATCATTACTATGTTCAACATCGGATGCAAACCGTAGAGTTCGTGAAGGAGATGGTGAGTCTTATCATACCTTATTTTATATAATCATCCATTTAGCATAAGAAGTGGTTAGGTTTTACTCATGCTAAAATGACAATAATGGAATGTCTCCAAGAACTTGCTGGGTTCCTTGATGAAAGTGATCCAGATGTAAAAAACATTTCAGAGATCTCAATGATATAAATACTTAAGGTCGATGAACCTAACCTTTTTCATGCTTACCAAACTGCAGAACGTTTAAGAGCTGCTCACCCCGATAAACCATGGATGCATTTAGCTGGTTTGATCCATGATCTTGGTAAGGTTATGTCCATGTGGGGAGAGGAACAGTTTGCAGTAACAGGTTGGTGAACATGCAATACTTGCAAACTTTTATGACGTTAGGAGACACATATCCTGTTGGTTGCACTCCATCCGAAAAAATTGTTTATGGATTGAAGAGTTTTGAAGGGAACGAAGACTTGAAAGATTCTCGTTACAAGTTAGCTCAATATTTATTTCTTACACTCTTTGTACTATTCCAGCACGGAGTTTGGAATATATGAGGAAGGATGCGGGATCGAGAACTTATTGATGACTTGGAGTCATGATGAATATATGTATCAAGTAAATATTTTATACTTACTATTTTTAAAGAAAACAAAATCAGGTTCTTCGTAATCATGGCTCTACGCTACCAGATGATGCTCTGTATGCTATCCGGTTTCATTCATTCTACCCTTATCACTCTCATGAGGCGTACAAACAATTCGAGAATGAGAGAGACAAGACTATGTTTCCAGCAATTATGATGATGAAGTTTGTCTGGAATATGTTTCTCTAACATTCATGTTGTTTCAGTAACTGTGATCTTTATTCTAAAACGGACAAGAAACCTGATTTGGAGGAACTCAAGCCGTATTATCAATCACTCATTGATCAATACATCCCTGGCGTTGTATCTTGGTGATTCAGAAGACATGATGATAAAATAAACTTTAAAGCTTCTTCGAGAAAATTCATTAACAAAAACAAAACAAAACAAACTTAGGAACTTCAAGAATCACAATGGTTTATACACCCGGACTTCTGTTAACGGTTTCCTCCAGCTGACAACCTTGCTTCCGCTCCTTTCCGATTGTGTCACGATTGCTTTCGGTACTTTTTTCTCTTTCTTCTGCGTTGTGTGCATTTTTCCAAGGGACTTCAGAGTAGGAGGGGAAGGTACTGAAATTCCCAAAACTTTATTGAACAGTTATGAAAATAACCATTATTCATGTTCTGGTCCATCATGGCTAACATGGAGTTCAGAAAATTTGGATTGTTGGTAGATACAACATTGTGAATTTGATTTTTTAATTTTTTCGCTTTCGGAGGCTCATTTTCGAGTATTGTCTACAACTGATCATTCTTAAGAAACCGGAAAAACAGTACCTTGGACACATTGGACATTTCTTTTACAATTAGTCTGCCTCGTTTCCCCCCAGGCTAGAACGATGTGAGTGGTTGTAATTACGAAATCTGTTTCGCAAATTGAGCTTCTAATGGTTGTAAAATCCTCTCACGTTTCTAATTTTGTTCGAAACCTGTAAAAGTTCTGTTTTTCCAAGCATATGACCAAATGTTGTTGAAAGGGTAAGGAACATCGTTGGCTGTGACTAGAACTGCGAAGTGCAGAAACATGGTCCAGAGAACCTTCAAGAGATCAGGAACTATTTACGCTGAAATTTGAAAAGCTCAATTTTTCCTCCTATGTTAGGCAAAATGATTCATAAGCAAGGGAAAGTGTACTCGTAACCAGTCTTCAAGAATCTCTTACTTTGAAGTCTGTATATCTTACTTGCTGAAAAGCAAGAAATAAAGATTACGGTAGTATCAATAGTGTACACGACTTATTGCGTAGAAAAGTTTCAAAATGCTAATTAGAAGCATTTTCCTTACTTGTTCTAGGTTAGAACGTTTCTCCTCAATCAAGTTCTACTCTAAAATGTCCTCAGAAGACCTGGCAAAGGTGGTGAATCATAAAATAAGTTTTTCATCCAAATCTTAGGTTGTAGCATCAAATATTGGAGTAATAAAGCAAACCATCGAAGATGCCGTCTCCTCATCACCTCTTACAAATCATTGTAACCTTGTTGCTGTGTCTAAAACAAAGCCAGTAGAATTGATAGAGGTAGTAATTACGCAAAAGTATATTATATTTTCATTTAAGGCTTGTATTGAAGGTGGTCAATGGGATTTCGGTGAAAACTATGTGAATGAGTTGGAAGAGAAATCCCAGTCGTTGCATGAAAAGTTTCCCTCTATTCGTTGGCATTTCATTGGACAAGTTCAAAGTAATAAAGTAAATCGTTGATGTTTTGAAACAGCAAAAGTTTTATTGTTTATTTCAGATTCCAAAAATATGTAACAGTCCAGGTTTATACGCGGTTCACACCTTGGAATCTGAGAAACACTGTTTGGCTTTCAATAAGGAGTTCGTGAAAAAAAACCAAGTATGGCGTTATACATGAACCTGCTAATTCAGTTATATCTTCAGGAACTGAATGTTCTGGTGCAGGTTAACACAAGTAAGGAAGAACAGAAAGGAGGATTGCTTGCCGATGATGCTGTTAAACTTGCTCATTTCATCAGAGAAAGCTGTTCCAATTTGAAGTTTTTAGGCTTCATGACCATTGGCTCTTTTGACAATAGGTATAGTCAAGAGTTCCTATCAGATTTACGTTTTAACTTCAGTCATGCTATCCCAAATCCTGATTTCGACGAGCTTTTCAAAGTTCGTTCTCAATTCTCTCTCCAGTCCGGAGTAGCAGAAGAAAAGATAGTTTGTATTTATATAGTTACTGTGCTTCATCTCATTTTAAGGAACTGTCAATGGGTATGTCCGATGACTACGTACAAGCAATACAACAAGGAAGTACAGTAGTGCGTGTCGGCAGCAAGATTTTTGGTGCTAGAATATACAAAAATTAGATTTTCGGAGAGAAAAGAGAGCAGCTCCAGATTTTCTTTGTTTTGAGCAATCTAATTTCATGTTTCTATGCACTGCGCGCAGATTTTTCATTATAAATTATTTTTTACCGTTCGTTTACTTGCGTTACCGGGCAGTCATCCTTCGAATATCTTTCATCGTTATGACTAATCTTGGTTCAACTATATTCAATGTTCACAGGCTCGTATATACCATGCCTCACGCAATATCAAACTTCTCTGTGCCGTTGTCGGAACTCGTGCAACCGAAATCAATTGACAGAAGAACTTCCACCGATACTTTCCGATCTTTGTGTTTGTTTGAATATTTTTTTTCATTTCATGCAGAAGTGTTTTAGGTTTTAAAGCAGGTGTGTTCGAAGGAAAGAGGGGTTCAGCTTATGTTGAGTTCGGAAACACCAAAGTTTTGTCTCAAGTGTGAGTTCTCTTGATTCTTAAGACCCAAGTTTTTTCGAGACCAAAACCGCATTTCTTTATTCAGACATGGTCCTCGAGAGTATGCGGATGGTGATTATCATAGCTGCAGCGTGAAAGTAAGTACTCTGCATTCACAGATATTCGGGATATAGCAACCGCTCATGACGTGTACATACAGTTAAACTGATCTATCTTCACGTGACATGACGGATTGAGAAGCTTATTTTTTTAACACAAATCTATATCTTACTCTAAATTTACTTCTAGGTTGCTATTAAAGGCTACACAGACGAAAAAATTAGAGCCCAGATCCAAAGTGCAATGTCAGGATGTATACAATTAAATAAATATGCTAAAAGTGAAATAGAAATAGAGGTATTTCATTTTTTATTTCTGTTATAAGCTGTTATATAGGTTTCTGTCATAACAGCAGAGCAAGGTGTTCTTCAAGCTGCTCTAGTTTCATCTTGTTTGGCTTTGGTGCATTCCGGAATTGAAGTGAAGTTCTCTCTCAGTTTCGAATAAACATATTTTTTTTGTAGTTATGGGATGTTGTCGTAGCAGCTCACGTGGCCATTACTGAAAGTGGAGATTTCATCCTTGACCCTTCAGTTATGCCTGAGAACTGTATGGGATCAGTGACGGTAGGGGTAATGCCCCAACGAGACCAGGTGAGGAAATATCGAATCGGGAAAACAAGAATTTCTTAGAGAAATAAGAGAATTTGCTGTAAAAGAAAGAATCGTAGATTAAACATGACCTTTTTAGATGGTTTGCACTGATATTCGTGGTGCTCTTACTTCACGCCTAGTCAATGAGGTTATACGCTATGCTGCGAATAAAGCTAATTCACTACATAGCCTTGTAAAAACAACACTTGCGGCCAGTTTGGAAACGTAATTGTCCGGTTTTTTCTTTTAATGATACTAAATAATCTCGTTGTTAAAATGTTTGTTGTTGATTGTTTTCGAAAAGTCAAATGAAGAAGTTCTTCACTCCACTGACCATTAGCAAACTGTAGATCTTAACTTTCATCAACAATGCTGCCATGACGTTCATTTTCTTCGAAATCCGATTGAATGTTTTCTTGACTAGCCGATGGCTGTGAACACGCAAAATTACATAAAAACTGAAATGGTTGAAGATTTCTCATCAAACAACTGTTCTTTGTTATAAGTTTGGATTGATTCATTTTGTATTTTATTTCGCTCCTTCCATATTCTTCAGATTTCCGAGAAGCATTTTTCGGCAGTCACGTGTTTCATGACGAATTTGAAAAGAATTGAGTCAGCTGAGCTTACTTTAAACAAATTCTGAAGTTGAAGACTATCAGCAGGAAATAAATCGTATTAATGATTTTGCAGAAGGAGAAGAAAATGGAGAAAACGAAACCGATTTCTTTGAATTTGTTTCAAATGGAAGAAATGGAGCTGCTTCGTGCCTTCTCATCACCATTTTCATTGTATTCTACTCTTCTCTCGCTCTCTTCCTCTCACTTGTGGTTTGAAGACCAACATTCATCAATCAGCTGACAGAAGAGCCAACGAGCCTTTATTTTCTCAAAAAAACACACAGAATGCCTTTTTTGAAATTTCAACGCCAGAAGAATTCATAGCATTCTTTTGTCAATTTTTGATCAAAAGTGAATAATTTCATTTCTGGTTCAATTTACAAATTCAGCAACTGTCGTTTGTTTTATCACATTAATCATGAACTTTGAACTGAAAAAGCATGGGGTGGCCCAGTGGTGCAAACCTTATCATATCTGATGATTATAATTTTTGCTAATTCACATTCACACATTTCCAGCTTTAAAAGAAAGTTTACGTCATATGTAGTCACATTGTTCTTGTTCGACTATATTCAATGACCTATGACCTCAGGAAAGGAGACTACCAAATCGCCTTCACCATTTTTTCCTAATAAAACTGAACAACCCTTTGTTGCAGGTCGGTAAGAGGTTTACACCGCTCCTCCTCTTCACTTTTGATCCCTCCATTCAATCAGTTTTTTTGCTTCCTGATACTTCTCTCTCGCTCATTTTTTATTTAATTTTTGTCCTGTGTTTTGCGTTCAAATCAAAGTATTACTCATCATTAAGTGCTCATGATCTGTTAACAAACTAGTTATCACACATTCTTCGCTGTATTATTACAATCGAAATTCCGAAAATCTCCTTCTTTTTTTTTGTTCTCCAGATTATTACCAGTTTCACACGTTTATTAAGGGAAAAAAACCTTCTAGTATGAGTTCAAAGTATGCGAGATTCACGGAGATAGCAGCTCACAGACATGTTGCCAAAAACAATTTTGTAAACTTTGTCTTCTGTTTAATCAATTTTTTGATAAAAACTCCGATTATTTATAATCCTCTTTTGATTTCTGGATCTTTCATTCATGTAGAACAATTGTTGTCACAATAACTATTAAGGAATGTTCAATATATGATAGATGTTACGAAATAAAGAGACAGACAGAGCGAGTGAGAGAGAAGGAGAGAGAGAGGGCGGAGAAGTTGTGAAGATAAAGAGGGTGGTGCTTATTTGTTCTCAAAATGTCCTTATTTATTATAATCACCAAATAATTCGTGCAAAACTGATCTTTTCTCTTTCTTTTACTCGTGTTTTTCCGATCTTCAGCTGTCTGCTAGCAATTTTTTTTGTTTTCTTATTAGTTCGATTCACTTTGTGCTCTGATGTCAGCTTCACCATCAGCTTTACTTTTTTTTCTATTATTAATATTACGAAATGTACTTTTCCCGTGAGACACGTGTAATCATTAAGTCCCCAATTCACGTGATGACGGCACGTGGATGCTTTAAATGAAAACATCCCATTTTAAATTCGAAGACTCGAAGAATGGTTGTTTTCCAATTCTATTTTATCATATGGTTTGTATTTTTTTCTTCTCCGTCACCCCCACCTCTTCGCTTCCCTCTTTCAAGACAATATCGGGATATTTGACAGTAGCCAGCTGTCTCTACATGTAATGATAAAGAAAAAAGATAATTTTTTTTATTCCAGTGCTCATGTTTCTCTCTGCGTTCATGTATTACTCTTGTTTCTCTCTAATTGTATTTGTTATTCCAGATTCATAGGTAGAAAGAAATATGGATTTTCTTCAAGTATACGGCACAATTCTCATCTCAGCATATTCAATCACTACTATATTGATTCTGTGTAAGCTGAGTCTGGGTATAGTTGTTTTTTTATTTTCCGCTAACTAATCTCTTCTCATTAACAGGTCGTTTGCCACACATGTACATTCGATTGATCGAATACTTCCAAGATAGTTTAACAATTAATAAGAATATGGATATAGATAATAACAACAGCCATACAATATGTGTTGCCAGAGACCATTTGACTCCAACATATTTTAAAAAATGTTTGTCTCTCACTGTTATCATGTAATGAAAAGGAAGCTGTTTCAGATGAAGTGAACGATTCTCTGGACGCCTCCATTCATCTTCTGTCCAATGGAATTCAAAGCATTCTACAAGTAAGAAAAATACTTTTTCTTATTGATCTCACAATCAAGAGTCGAGTCCATATGCGCGCTATTCACGTGTATTGTGAAAGATCATCGAATATGAGAGCTCTTCAAAGATACTTTGATTTCTCTTATCACAGTTTTCTTGATTGAACCATGAGATCGATTTCCGATAAGATTTCGAACATCGCACACGTTGCCTAGAAAATCTTTATTTCAATAGTTAATCTAGCCATTAACATGAAAGGTAATGGCTTGTTCGTGCAATGTATGTACTCTGTTCTCTTCATAATGCATGCATTTCATTTATCCATCTCGATAACATAGAACATTCGCAAGAAATTTTTGATTAAAAAGCCATTCACGATAAGAAAAGCAAAAAAAAAAGATAAATATGTCTAGCGTTGTTTGAACTTATTTATCTTCTCTCCCAAAATATGATACGGAAGGTTTTTCGTCCCCCTGTTTCCAACCGAACCATCGTACCTTTTGATGAAAAAGAACAATGTTCAACAATATAAAATTATATATTGCGACTGTTTAAGGATGATATATCACGCCCTTTCCTCTCAGCTCCTGCTCAAGGCTGGTGGTTATTGTCTTGGCCAACATACTTTTATTATGAGCCGATACCTTATCAGCTTATCTCCTTTTACATTCTCGGATTTGTCTTCAGGTCTTTCATACATGATCTAACTTCAATACTCAAACAAAATCTGTTTTTAGATGGTTCTTCCTATTCCCAGTACGATTTGCTCTACTGCTCACTTCAGTTATATGGATTGTTGCATGCGGATTAATTTGCAGTATTTTCACTCCTGCGCAATCAACAGGTTCGTTTGTTAAGTGTTTTCCTGCTCACAGTTAGAAAATAATGATTTCAGTTATGTATTTTGGAATAACATTTGCTCGATTGTTCAATGCAAGTACTGGCTTAGTCACGCGTTCACATAATGATGAAAATCGTGCCCAAACGCCTGGTATCACTAAAAACCTCTAATTTGAAAAACAAGAAAGGAATTCAGGCATAGCTGTTTCTAATCATTTGTCAGCAAATGATATTATGGTCTTATATGGGGATTGTTTCTATGATGGAAAAGGTGTTGTAATCCTCATAAATCATCTCTATAAAATTAATATATAGGTTATACGGTTACTGGTCAGAGTCACAAAGGTTTCATTGAAACATTACAAAAGTTTGGATCCAACTTGACTCCAACACTCTGGTTGAACCGGGAAGATCAGCATCAGAGAAGTAACTTCCAGGTAGCTATATATAGAATTTTATATGTTTATCATTAACCATTATGTTATCTATTTCAGAAGAAAGTTATGGACTACTCCAGTCAGCCATCAGTTTATCCAGTTCTTCTGTTTCCAGAAGGATACTGTAGCAATAATGATACAATCTTACAATTCCGTAAAGCTGTGTTCACGGGTGAAGTACCTATATATCCAATAGCTCTACTTCAGAATGCTCGGTTAGTTTTGAGACGCATGATCTTATTTCCTATATACTTTTTATAGAGTTGGAGATGCGTTTTGGAAAGAAGATACTTACATTCCATATATGCTGAGAGTTATGAGCTCATGGGCAACTTCATATGATATCACATATCTCCAACCAATGATCAAAAAACCTTCAGGTTTATTATTTTCGCATTCTTCTATCCGGAAAACAAGAACAAACATTTGTAGAAGATCCAGCTGATTTTGCTGCTCGCGTTCAATCAGCTGTTGGATGTTCTATAGCCAAAGATGTCTTGCCATACGATGGGGGATTGAAACGACAGAAAGATCGATTAAAGTATCGTTCAAAAGTTCAAACAGCTCTATTTGAGAGTTTGATGAAGTCATCTACATAATGATCTATTTCCATAATAGAGAATCAACACGTTGTGTCATACCGTTTAAGACAGGTCGCCCATATTCATTCCCCCCTTTTTTTCTTTTTTCAACAAAATAAAATAGAAAGCTGCAGGACAGCCTATCCGTATGTAGATGAATAGTCTCTTCATCTTCTTCATCTGCTATCTTCATAAATAAAAACAAGAAGTACAAAATATTATTTGTTTATTGTTTGAATATTTTGATTGACTTATGTTGTACTGATTATTTGAGAGGCTTGACGATAACGAGAAGATGAACCTCGATTGAGATCAGCTCGGAGAAAATATATGTAAAGAGGGAGTAGCGGAAATTGTAAGAGATATAATATATAAGCTATAGCATCAGCCCATAAGAAGATTCGAGCATGATGTCCTCCGCGTGATTGCAAATGAATAAATTCATCGATTATCTAAAACATTAACTTATATGTGCATAATTATGTTTTTAATAAATTATCGTCACTTCCTTGAACATTACTCACCCTCAAACTGTAATTAGGCAAGTTCAACAGAAGATTGATCGTAGCCATTAGAAGACAACGTCGAATTGCCAATGTGCGACGATGTTCCGAATCCTACAACATGAACCGTTTTCATATTCACATTCACTCATTGGGGCTTACATTTATGTTTTTTTGAGAAACAATTTTCATATATGTAGGCGTCTGTTTTTTATGATCCACGGTTATCGTTTCAGCAGCTATCAAAGCAAATTCGGTTTGACAAGGATTTCGGAGAATTAACACGGAAATATCCGTTATGACCGTCAAGATAAAAGGGATAAAAAATGTAGCAATCGATTCAATGACAACTATCGTTTGAAGTGTTGCACCGCTGAAACAAAACAACAAATCAAGTATAAACAACTATTAGTTAGAATTACTTGAATCCTGGGTCAACTCCGCAGTAAGCACCTTCTGATTCATCAGAGCTAACTGTTAGTTTCGTGATTAAGAGTGGTGTCCATATTTGGGTTAAGAGGGAAAACGCCAAAACACTTAAATAGGAAAGTTTGAAGAAAGTTTTCTAAAAGCAAAGATTAACCATAGAATTGACCAGTAACCATGTAGATACTTCCTATTTCTTCGAGATCTCATTGGACAAAAAACATAGACACATCTCTGAAAAATCTAATTTGTTTCAAGTGAAACAAGAAAAAAAAATTAAAGTTGTCAGTGAAAAGCTAGAATAATTCGCGTGAAATTGACGTGACTGATGTCATTTTGTTTTTCGATGCGCATGAGAAGCGGTTGTGAATATGAGAAAGAGCTAACAATAGAGCAGTGATTACAGAATACGTATCTACCTGAATATACATGACAACGTATGTCCAATGAATGAAGCAACTCGAAGCATCCACAATATAACCTGAGAGCTTGCACATCAATGATCCATGCAGAATCACTAAACAAGATAACTCAGATATGTCTTAGTCAGTGACATCTCTTACTTGCAAGTGTTGTGAAAGTTTCAATGAAGACCGTTGCACATATTGTTGAAAGAAGAACAAAGTTTCCTATTATAATTGCTACTAAGCATGCATAATACTGACTTTTTCTTAAATAAGAAATAGAATGATTAATCAGATGTTCTCTTGGAAAGCTTAGTTACCTGTGTTTGCGTAGTGAGAATAGACAGAATGGTAGAAGAGGAAGTGTTAGAAAGCAAACAAAAACAACTGAAACAAAAAGAAGACGAGATGAATAAATCCATTCTTGAAGGACCGCTTCTTCCACGGCATTCACCATTTGTCACTGAAATTCTTTTTTTTTCTCTCTTTTTACTTGTCTTGTTCAAAGTATAAAGTAGGTCAGACACGATTACGGCAGCGAAGAGCTCACAAATGGAAAGGAATTGGAAACGAATATATCATTCTTCGGATGAGAAGAAGTAATTGCAATAAAATTCAGATGACTCTATCGATCTTTAATAAATATAAAAAAATATAAACAGAAAATGGCAATATTTAGTTAAATAAGCAGGAAATGTAAGTAAAAATATTGAGTTTGGCATTTCCGGGTAAAATGCTTCAGAGCCGATGATCACTTGTCAGATGACTTTAAGAGTTGTCTCTATAAAGTTGGAACAAAAAAAAGCTAATTTTTAATTCTCCTTTTATGGATATTAAAAGAGTAGAATAATCTGTTTGTCAAATTGGCTCATGAAAAGATAAATAAATGAAAAATGCAAGCCGCTGAGATGAAGAAGAGATGGAGGAGGCAGTAAACGAGGTAGTAGATGGGATGGATTTGAAAGAAGAAAAAATGGAGAAGAGGAAGAAGAGGAAAAAAGAGATGAAAGAAGAAGAAGAAGAAGAAGAAGCTTCAACTGAACTTCTTGTTTGAACTTAATTTATTGTTCTTCATTAGCTAATCTAAGAAATATTATGTTCCTTTATATCTTTTCTTCAAATTTCGTTTAACGCAAATGATTGAAAATGAATTCGATGCAACTTAGCATTGACATATTCATGGAGATACCAACTCCAAGTTGAACTTTCTAATCAGGAAAAAAAAAGATGAATTAGTCGTTTGTTGAATAAACTCAGAGGATTAAACTTCATCTCATACGTATAAATATATATAGTTAATAGAAATGAATATGAAGAACAAAAATCTTCAATATGGGACCTTATATGTAAGAGAGAGACAAAGAACATCTGGTCTTTGCTCAAGCTCTCCTTCTTCTCAAGGGATTCAATCCAGAAAAATAATATTAAAAAAGGCGGGAAAATCTTTGTAAAAGTGAGAGAAAGTAATGGAGAACATAAGAAAATGAAGAAGATGAATCCCAAAAATCTGAGACCATACTGGATGAGGTCATTTCATAGATTAAGTATAACTGAATGCGAATTTGAGCCATCCTCCCCTCAGCGATGTATCATGTTGTAGACAATTTATTTTCGGAATAAAAAAAATATTTTTTTAAACTTATTTTGCATGAATTATTCAAAAAAACGAAACGGAAAGGCTAATTAATCTGATTTTTTGTAAATAAGGCTATTTTTGTAAATTCTTGCAACCAGATGCCGCTCTTCTGAAATTAAGAAGTTATCTAAAGATGTCATCAATGGTTGTTCTCGGATTACAACTTTCAACTAGTTTTATATCCTTTTCAAAAAATGTATAAAAAGAAATGATTTTATTTATGTTTCATTAGACCAATGATGTCGGTCTCTAACCGATTATGGGCTTATAAGTGCATTACTTATTCAGCTCTTACATTCTCAGTGGTCGCAATGCTTTCTGTGAGTTATTTTTAGGAATTATGCAGAACTTTGAAACATTCATCTGTTGCAGGTCTCTATCTCTCTACCAATCCTATATAACTATGTTGCTCTGATTCGCAACACGATGGATGTTGAGCTAGCTGGATGTGAAGTAAACTTCCGTTTGATTTTCAAACTGATGTTTTCCCTATTGTTCAGGACTCCAGCAACATAATTTGGAAAGAGTTCGAAGAAACGCTCACGATGCAGCTCAATCGTACAAAACGTCAGTCATATGGCGCAGGAGACCATCTGGGAGCTTCTGGTATCAACAAGGAAGCAAGCTGCGAACCAACTTGTGTTCCTGGCCCTCCTGGACCTGCTGGTCTTCCCGGAAAACATGGAAAGCCAGGAAAGCCTGGTGCACCAGGAATGCCGGGAATGCCTGCAGCAGTTGTCAACTCAGAGCCATGTAATCCAGTAACACCTCCACCTTGTCAACAGTGCCCAGTTGGTCCACCTGGACCTCCCGGAGAGACTGGAGCTGCCGGTGATGCTGGTCCACCAGGACTTGCAGGACGACCAGGAAACGAAGGGTTTGATGCTCTCTAATAACTAATGAGAACCATATTTTTCTAGTAACCCAGGAGAAACTGGTGCTAAGGGAGCTCCAGGTCCCCCAGGAGAACCAGGACAAGGTGGAGTTCCTGGTGAACCGGGTACACCAGCTCCAAACGAATCAGTTGTTCCTGGAGAACCTGGTCCCCCAGGAGATCAAGGAGAAGTTGGACCAGCAGGACCACCCGGTCAACCAGGACCAGACGGATCTCCAGGTAAATAAGATAAGCATATGAGATTTAGAATAGTTGGTGTAATTTAGGAAGCGCTGGTCCTAAAGGTCCAACTGGGCCAGACGGTGCTCCAGGAGCTGATGGTGCTTCCGGAGAACGAGGTCCTTCTGGAGCATCTGGTAAACCAGGAGAGAAAGGAATTTGTCCTAAATACTGTGCAATGGATGGAGGAGTGTTCTTCGAAGATGGAACACGTAGATAGAGAAAGAAATGAAATTGTTTTCAATCATCATAACGAAATGAATATGCATTCAATAGGAAAACTTTAAAGACAAGAAAGAGATATACAAACGGGAAAAGGGAAAAAAATAAATTGTCTGAGATATCTTTCAACGATATCAAGATGATGTTTTTGAGAAGATTATTATGTGATTATATCTTGTAATGAGAAATTTAAGACAATATTTGAAAACATCTGCAGATTTCAACAAGTTTCTCACTAATTTGAATTAAGCATTCTGTATAAATAGAGATTTACCATTCGCTTAATATGAGACAACAATGGCATCTAAACTCATTGTTTACATTCTTCTATCAAACATTTCAATTTCACTGGGAGTAGCATATGACACTGCATAAGTATTAAGTAGGTGCTTGTTCTTCTCATTTTACTGTTTCTCGCTCTCCTAGTACCAGAGACAGCAAAAGATGGTACAAAGATTGAGACAAATAAGGCAGATGAAGCTGCATAACACTCTATGACAACGGTGACAACACAGGTAGTTGAAGATGGTGCAATCGTTGTAGATGAATTCAAAGCCAAGATCATACTTAATGAAGGAAGTGAAATAATTTCTTATGAAGGAAGTAAATGATACCTGATGAAAGAATGAGGTTGAGATATGAAGTGATGACACTACCATAGTTTCCCATATAGAAATGGTTCTTTGACGCTTTTTCATTCTTTTAGTACTCCTAATTATTTTATTTTAATATTTGATTATTTACATTATTTTGCATAAACATTCCTTTCATGCCTCTTTCACTAATTCAATGGCCTATTGGCACAAAAAATGAAAAAACACAGCCGCACACAAAAAACGCAAATACAACATAAATCTGTTTCTTCTGAGAAATGTAAGAAGCCGATTCTAATACTGATTAAGCCAACCCGATGAGAGGGTGTACAAAAAACAAGATTGATCAATGATTTTGTAAGAAGTTTGTGAAAAATATTTTACAATTCTCAAGATGTCAGCGAACTTTTCACTAATTTGCATTGCGCTTTTCGTACGAATTGTGGTTTACCACTTGCTTGATAGGCATATGACAATAATAGCATATAAACTTATTGTTTTCACTTTACTATCATTTTTTCTGATTAGCAGGTTTTAGTTCCAACCTTCTCCACGGGATGAGCTCAGTTCAACTATACATCATCTCACGTTTCAGAGAAGACGGAAACAAACGAAGAAGTCAAAAGCAGAAAAAAAAAGATTTCAACTGAAGGAACAAGGTTGGAATAACGTGAGACCTAGAACCTCTGTTAAAGGTAATGACATGTATTGATTCTAACGGACGAGTTAGAAATAACGACTGATGTTTGAGGTGAAGAAGTAGAGGATGACTAGCTCTTCGTATATCACTTTTCTTGTACTTTATTTTAATATTTGATTATTTACTTCAATCTGCATAAACGGTCTCTTCCGAAACTCTTCCCTTAATTCAATGGCCCTATTGGCGCAAAAAAAGGAGAGAACACAGCCGCACACAAAAGACACAAATGCAACAAGAAATCTGTTTCTTTAAGGAAGGTTTCAACGAACGATCGCTTCTCACGTGAATGGAAAATGAATGAAATGCACAGCTGCATAGACAGTAGAAGAGTATAAATGAAGCCGATTCTCATTTTGGTTTTGCCAGTCCAGTGAGTGGCTGTGCAAAACAAGCGAGTTTGATCAACAAGGTTGAGAGAAGCCAAAACAGTTCAATCATATCCGAAAATGAGATCAAACGGTGCATTTGCTAATGAATGATGGAACTTTAAAGTTCAGAAGGAGGATTATCGAACTGTTTATCAATATTTCGTTCACAAAAATCATACATTTCAAATGTAAAAGGAATTCTTCTCATTTGACAAGCTTAGGCAGCTGGACAGCCAGGTCCTTTCTCTCCATCTTTGCATTTGCAATCAGCATCTTTCATTCTACGTTCGGTGATATCTCGTCCTTCGGCAGTCTTCCCAACAACACAAAGACATCCTTTGAAAAGATTGATAATAATATATTATATTCTAATAAAATAATAATATTCAGTACCTTTAGGTCTTGGGAAACATCCTTCCTTCAATCCCTTGAATTTATTATTTAACTCCTCAACAACAGCTCTATAATTGGCTTGAGCACGTTCTCTGAAAACAATTATGAAGATTATCTTCATAAATTGAATATTTTTGCAAACCTCACGGGATCACGAACGTTCTGAGATGGAAGATTATCTGGGCTCTGGCTTCTTGCACGAGTCTTATCATATTGAACTTGAGAATTGATAGTTCTATCATTTCCGACATTTACTTCACGCTTGCTTCTCTGAATTGAAGAGGAAACGTTTCTTCATCTTCAAAAATTTGAGAGAAAAACTTACAACTGAACATTGCTCGGCACTGTTGTAGGTGAGAACAACCTCATTGCCATTTGAATCTTTTTCTGTGCATTTGCAGCCACCAGATGGCTTGGGGAAGCAGTTTTCCTAAGAATAAAAAAAACATCAAAATTCATGTAAATGTTTGTATTAGATGACGTATCAGTCAACTCATTTTTCTAACATCTTTGTAGACATTTCAATGAAAAGCAATAAGATTACCTTGAAGTTTCCGAATTTCTCCTTTATTTCCTGGTTAAGTTCCTTTTTATTGTTAGCTGTTTGAGCTGGAAAAAAAGAAAAATCATGTTCTTCTATTGTGAATTCTCGTTTGCTAACCTTCTAGAGAGACTTTGCAATCAGCATCTTCTGAGTATTCACGAACAGTTTCTCCTTGTCCTTCATCAACGTTGCACTTGCATCCTCCGGAAGGCTTGGGGAAGCAGTTTTCCTGTGAAACGAAAAGTTACAATCCAAAAAACACTCGATGGCTTACTTTGAAAGCACCGAACTTAGCTTTAATCTCAGCATTCAGCTTATTTTTGTTTTCAGCAGTTTGAACTTCAACGGGCTTCTTACAGTCATCAACAGAGTAGTAGCTTCGAACAGTTTCTTCTAAGCCTTCTTTAACATTACAGCTGCATCCTTCCGGAGTAATGAAACAGTTAGGACGAAGAGCAACAGCAGCGGCGGCAGCCTACAAAGGGTAAAGAGTTGTTGTGAACTCCGGAAATGAATTTTCTCCACTCAAAGCTATCATCCCAAGATGATCTTACAGTGATCATGTTCCTCCAAAGAACACTTTCAAAAGCTTATCTGCCATTGAACATTGAGGGGAAATCAATGGTGATTTTAAAAAAAATTGTTCAAACGAAAGAATAGAAGCAATTGATCATGAGGTAAGCTTTTGAAAGTCAATAATTTAGGAAAAAAAGGTGAAAGTAAAGAACAAACCTGTGTTGCTACGACTAAAGCTGTTGTACAAATAAGGAAACGTATCATTTCAACCAACTATCAGAAAGATGGCAATTGAAATGAAGACGAAGAAGAAGAAAGTGAAAGAAATTTAAAAGATTTCCGAAGTTACCGCCCACTTTTTGTTTAGATTTCTGTACTCTCTTGATTCGAAATGATATTTTATTAAATGAGATACAATACTAAGGAACTTCATCTGTTATTCTTCGTCTTTTACACTTTTCTTTCCTCACAAATCAATCTTCAACAGATTTGAAGAAACAAGAAAAACAATTGTTACATTATGATTCATCAAATGTTTATAACTTCATTCAGACATTAAGAATGAGACCACATGTGCTCGTGCCAGTACAGACCATCTACTTCTTAGCCAAATAATTCTAAAGCGCACACATTGTTTATGTTTACAAACTGAATAGAGTCTATTGTCTAACTAACCTGAATCAAAAGCTTATTTTCTTTTTCTTTCTCTAACACTTTTTTGTGTTCAATATCAGCTATCCTTGTCATGATCAATTCAAATCGACTGACAGAAGTAGAGAGCACTTCCTGCAATGCATCAATCCGTCTATTCACACTGAAATTATATGAATATAACAATCTCTAAAATGCATAATTTCTATTAAACATTATGTGATTTCGATAATTATCATCAATTTCTCGTCGTCGTTCGAGCAATGTTTGCATCTCATTCGCAACTCCGTCCATCGTCTGAGAATGATAGCATTCGAAAAACATCTTTCGTTATTCACAAACCCTTTCATTAATTAGATCTGCCGATGAGATATCAAGTTTGATAAAAGCATCTGTTATATCTTTCTCCTTGTATCCGAGTCTCAAATTTTATTTTATTTTTTTGCTTCTCAAATATAATTTTTGAATACTTGAGTAGTTCGTTCTTGTAGTCATCGAATGTTATGCCCAAATCTGGACTGGATGGACGTTCATTTCGAGCCTTTGAGCTAACCATTCTGTTGAATTTCTTAATCAAACAAAATTATTATTAGCCTATCGAATGAATTTTTTACCGATTTTATCCAATCGAACAAACTCCGTTTTGTTTTCTTCTTCTCCAATTCTGTCTTTACTTGTACGTAGGAATCATTGATAATGGCCAAAAACATGTTCTGAACATCAAATTTGCTGGCTTTTTCCATCAAAATAATTACCAATAAAACGAAGAAAACAAAGAAAACGTAGGTCAGGAAGAAGGCCGGTCCCAAATATCTGTTTGCCCTTTCTAATGCCAAATAATCAAAGTCTCCCAGAATGATTCTAAGTAAAGCGAAGATGGCTCCAACAAATGTTGAATAATCTTCTATCTTTAATCATCTGCTCGTTAAGGCTTTAGATTTTTGTTCCAAAACCTGGGTTCCAAAAACAAGATAGCCAAACTGGGCATAGGCGAAGAAAAACACGGAAAACATGACGAAGAACCCTCCAATGTCTTTAGAAGATCTTGACAGGGTGTCAGAGAGTTGAGACATTGTCTGATTAACAGAGATGTATTTGAAAACCTTTAAAGAATTTTTTTTTATTGTATGTCTTGACTGAAGAAACCACCTTGATGAATGATAAAAACAGAATGATGGAAACGATATGGTGATAAGTGTTTTCTGCCGAAACCACATCATCCATCGTTGCTTGGGTCATATTGGCTGGAGACATTGTGTTTCTTTGTTTTCATAGCCAAAACTCACATTTGAGAATGCTATTGATTCGATCAGCAACTATATTTGTCCTTTTGTAAGAAATTATGAAACATGCAATTGATAAGGAAATGATGGCTACATCGAACAAATTCCAAAGTTTGGTGAAGTACCGCAGTCCAGATCGCACAATCTCAAAAAGCTCTTCAACGAGTAAAAAGAGCTGAAAAGCTTTATAAACTATGCAATTATGATATTTTATAACTGTAAATCCCATGAAAGCTCCTTCCAAGCCAACCAATATATATCCTCCGGTTCCCGTATATCGAAACAAGGAAAAAGTGTAGAAGTTGGATGTTGTCATAACTCCTCCAGTTGCTGGCAACTCAAATAGCAGTCTTCAATTCTTTCAATAAAGACAAAGGAAAGAATGAAATATACCGAACAATAATGAAAATATTAACATTTCCATTGAACAAAGCGAAATCGACGATTAGGGCCCTAGTTCCTCGATCGATGAATCTCATACTCTTAAACGAGACGATTAAAAACCTCTTAGAAATTATTTCGCTGAACCTTTAACTCAGAAATAATCTGATAAGCTTCATCAGCATCATCTTTTGGCAAAGGAACAACAAAACCGCTGCCATCATAAGTTCCCAGGACTCCTTTGATTGAAGACGTTTCTAATTCTTCTGATGATTTCCATTCAAAGCTAACGAATAAATTGTAATTTCACATTAGGGAGACTAACTTCATATTTTCCGTTCCGAAGCTGAGTTTATCCGCATGTTTTTCTTTGTAATTCGAGAAGCACTGCTTAATTTCTCTTGAAAAGCTTTCCGGAACTACACAAGACTTGTTATGAACCTGCACGATATAGGTGTGAAATCCTTAATGCGGTTGCAAGACTAAAGTTACTTTAAGCATCCGAATTACTGGCCGACCCAACAGTTTGTTTTCATACATCACCATCCCCTCCTCCGTGGATATATTATAGGTTGTACTGTCCCAGTACAAACCTTTTATGAGAATCTTATTGAAATACTTAAAAGAGAGTGACTATTTCTATATATGGGTAGGAAAACCAACTTCCCAAATAGCATCCATATCTTTGATGCCGTCGAACGTGAGAGAGCTGTCACTTGTTGAATATAAAAATGCATTACTGACGGATTTAGCAAAAAAAAATTTCTGTGATGAAGTGTTTACGAAAGCAACTTAATTGATGGCCTTTAGTATGTGTCATATAATGATTTTCTTACTGTAAACTAAAACCACCAGATATATGGAATACATGATGATTTCGAACAAGAAATGAGCTGAATCTGATCTGGCATCACGTTTGACTAAAAAGATCTCGTCCTCCTTCCAACAAAGTTTGTGGGCAACTTACGTCTTGAAGCCATTAGTACCTGCTTGGCTGACATTTTTTCTTGCCTTTTCTTGTTGACAACATCCTTAGGCTTCTTATCGTCGAAATGAGCATCGTCCTGAAGAGTAGTAGTATAATACTTGGAAGAACAAAAACAAAACCATCTCTTTCCCTAATGTGTCGGAAACTGGCATGGAGTCGGCAGCTACGATAGCCGGAGGGTTATCATAACTTTTCATATCATTGTAATCCATGCTGAGTTAACTTGAATGGAATGTAAAAGTATTTGAGGGGTTTTACATTTTAAGCCCTATCACCCAGCAACTGTTGCTAAAAGCGTTTTTTAATCGAAAACCATGGACACAGATGGAAGCATCCCAGGGAACATCGAGATTGTAACCAAAACAGCAATTCCATTTTGAATTTTCTTATTTTCAATAAAGATTCATAGAAGGTTTATGTGTTCAAACATGAGAGTTCAATAAAAGTTTTCACATGTAGATACATGATTCATTGGTTCATTAGTGTTCTCGCAGAACTGTTGTTTGTTCCTTCACTACCGAGATGATTCATTAAATGAACTCTTACGCGCCAGTTTTCTTTATAGATCTTTTAATGATTTTATTTCGTAAACAATTTGATAAAATGTGAAGACAAGAGATTTAAAAAAAAAGATTAGCACCAAAGATCATTTAGCTTCTGGAGTGCCAGGTTGTGTGGAACCCTTTGATGAACCGGGGCCCGATCCACTGCGTGTCGATGAACCCGTACCTGTAGCAGGAGCTGGGACTTTTTGAGTTTGACGGAACTTTTTCCATTGCTAGAAAAAAGGCTTAAGTATTCAAAAACAGAAAAAAAAAGATGTACCTTTTGATACTCCTGATATCTTCTCCAAGCTTCCTCACTATAAGCCCTCCTTTTCTGAGCTGCAAGCTCAGCTGCAGTTAGCGCTCTCGCTGAAAATAAAATTGAAAAAGGTTGTGCGAATTAAACTTTACGTTTCTGAGGTGGAGGTGATTCTTCCTAGAATTCATAATGTTAGGATTTGATGTAATCTGAATAGCATACCTTTACTTCTGGAGGTGGTGGCTCTTCTACAGGTTCTGGTGTTGGAGTTCTAGGCGGTGTCTCTACTTTAGGTTCAGGAGATGGACTTGGGGTTGGCTCTGGAGTTGGCTCTTTTGGCGGTTCTTAACATATATTGTGTTCTTTGAGTAATGATAAAAGTCGAAAAGCACAACAAACAATCGCACAAAACACTTGTAAATACCCGGTGTAGGAATAGGAGTGGGTTCTCGTGGAGTTGGTGTTGGAGGAGGTGTTGGCTCAGGCGTAGGCTCAGGTGTAGGTTCCTTAGGCTCAGGCTCGGGCGAAGGTGTAGGTTCAGAAATCCACTCTACAAATTTCACTCGTGCATCTAGTTGAAAACGTTTTGTGTTGATAGTGTAACTGTGAACTATCGAAACGTGTTTCTATTCCTACCTTGTGCTGCCTCATCCATAAAATTACCTGTGAACTCTTCTGGATCTGGTTCAAATGGAGGAGGCTGCAAAAATGATAAAATTGAAAAGCTGATGAATGAATGACTCACTCGCAAAGTTTCAATTTGTCCTTCTTCTACTTTAATAGCCATGTCAACAAAATTATCCAAATCTAAATCCTTTATGACAGTTGTTGGTAGATTGAACTGATCACCCAAATTTTTAACAAGAGCTTTCATGGTCATCCTTGAAAACAATCCATAAATAAGCTTTGATTTCTCTTCCTGTTTGCTAACTTCTTTCCTCCAAACCAAATAGCAACACTGCCAACATTCTCTATTTTTCTTCCATAATAGTGTAACTTCTTAAGAGTATCAGCAGCAATTTCGATTGCCATTGTTGTTAAAGCTAAGCCAATAGCTATGTAAACAATCGTGAAAACCATGTACGTTTCACTTAATTAGTTTAATTTTTGTTGCAGCAAAAAAGGAAACAGGAAAACCTTCGAGGCACTATATCACCTAATCCGATTGATGTTAGAGTTACGAAATTGAAGTAAACAGCTTTAAAGAAGTCCATGTCAGGTTCGTACGAAGCCAACATTAAACCTCCTTAAGAGAGTCAAAGTTCAAAAATGAGAAAAACCATCGTCTCTTACCCATTGCTATATAGAGTAGAAAAACTATGAAGAGAGCAATAGCTTGACTGTCTTCTATATCATCCCCTTCTTCCGCCTTAGCTGACAAGTTCTTCTCTTCCATCTGCAATAAAATAGTTAATAAGGAGTTGATGCATACTCGTAAAGCAACCTTTCCTTCCTCAACTGAGATGATTTCATCTAAACTTCCTCTACGAGACGTTTTCTTCTTACTGTTCTCATAACCTTTTAGCTTCATCCGAACAATCCAATCGTCCCTGAATTTCCTGAGACAAAAACAAATATGAAGACAATAGCTGGGTATAAATCACTTTCGAAGCTTATTCAGTCGTTGTGTCCAATCAGCCATGATTTCTGATAGAAATTTACCCAAGTCGGCAATAGCTAAGAGTGTGAATGGTATTCCAACCAGACCGTATAAAACAACAAATAATCTTCCAGCAAAAGTTTTTGGTGCCACATTACCATAACCTATTGGAATAGACAATCATGCAAAGAGCTCGTCAATGAAGCTTATACCTATAGTAGTTATGACAGTAAATGCGAACAGAAGCGAATCCATGAAAGACCAAGGCTGAATCTCATCATCTACAATGAAAACATTTTAATAGCTGCCATATAGTTTGTTTCTTCGCTCAAACCTCCATCCGATTGTTTTAAGTGAGGACCTGCATGTGGATTGGGAGGATGAAAGACATCTTGTTCTACTGATATGTGATAGCATTTATCCATTTCTTTTATTAATTTCTCATTCAAAGTACTGAGTGAGCACTCAAACTCAGCTAATTTCTGTAAAAAAAAATGCCATGCAATAGCAACTTCCTTTCCAATCAAACTTTTATGGCAGAGATCACGCAACGTCGGCTCCGCATAACCTGAGCTGCTGTTCGCTTTTCCCTGTTCGTCAAATTACTGAAAAATACATAACGAAAAAAAGTGTCGACAACAAACAAAAACTTCATTTCTTCTTCTAAAAGAACTTTTTCCAGTATGACAGAATCATTATGCCGCCTTCTACGTCGGTGAATTGAACTACCAGCTTCTAAAGCTTTAGCCAGAGTTTCTACAATAAGAAACATATAAAACTATTGGAATGGCAAAATATGAAAACCTGGATTGATGTGTAGATCAGAATGTCTTTTCTCAATGACAGCCTTAACTTCAGCAATGGGTTTGGATTCCAGCTTTCTCATGACAACAGCTCCAAAAACTGCATAAGCTCCAACGGAGACGATCATCAACAGATGAACGGCCAATGGAGTTGCCTTAAGATGATACAAATATGAAGCACTTAATGATCATAAAGTAATAAAAAAACAAAACCTTTCCGATGAAATTAGAATTTATTTGAGGACTTAAAGCATTCCTTTTAACTCGTAGTTTCATTGTTGTTCAAGACGAATTTCTGGAGAGTCAGATGGAAAGAGAAGAAAAATGTCAAACATTCTCTTTTTTAAATCCGAGAACTTCTCAATAAATGAATAATGAGCTTCAAATCAATTGTATTTCCTGCCCCCCAGATAGATTCAACAAATGCAAAAATCAAAAAACAAAAATGTCCATTTCACCTTCTTGCCTTGACGTTTAATCCAATCCAGCTGCATGTTTGGATCCTCGGATGTCAAATTTCCATTTTCCGATCTTAATTTATTGAAATAATAAAAAAAAATTAAATTTGTATATTGAAAAAAAAAATTATAAAGAAATGAATTACTTTTTACAATCCTTTAACTGTTTTACTTTTAATACCATATTTGTAAGGACAGAGAGTATAGAGAGTTTAAAAAAAGGAATACAAAGGACTCGAACGGACGTTTGAACTTCCGCAATTATTTCAGGTTTTGTTCAAAAAAAGAAAAAAAAAGAATTATTTCGGTTCAGAGTAAAGGACAACATATCTTTATCATTTTTGAATATTAATTCTTCCGGGGGCCACGAAATCGGTTCCGTACGATGAATGCAAGTAATAGACTTTAAACAGGAAACAACAAAATTTCAATGTAAGCTTAGTCCTTAAGCTTCTATTTTTCTATCAAGCACAAGAAACAAATCGCTTAAAAAGAAAACACTATCACTATCTCTATTTCTCTCCTTCTCTCTAGTCATCAATGATTTTCTCTCTCTATCTCCTTTTGTGGAAGAAGAGAGGTACGTAATGAGTAAGAGAGTGAAGAGAAAGAGAACAAGAAAATCTCATCATGTTATGACCTGTTAAATGAAGAAGCACCAGTTGTTTGCACAAAATAAAGGAGAAGAAGACCAAAAAAAGAAATTCAATACGATAATGAAGTTTGTAATTTCTTTTATTTTCTTCTTCAAATCCAACTGTTTTCTATAATGTTCAATTCCAATTTTTCTCGGCATCTGCTCGGTTATTCAATGCTTTTTCCTCAGAAAACCCTCTCATTTCTCATTCGAAGGTAATTGCTCTGAGCCGATAAACACAGTTCTTATTTGAAAAGAAGAATGATTGCAAGGTTGTTTCTTAATTTAAACAAAACAAACTGTCTTCAGAAGAATCAACAAAAAAAAGAGTAATAGATGAGAATGAGATGAAGCTGAAGGGATAAATGAGCTTTTGGTCGGACAGAGGAGTTTTGTGAAAGTATACTCGTTTCATCCTGTGTTTCTGTGTGTCTGTGTATGTATGCGTTGTAAGGTAACATGATGTTACTCAATTAGATGGTATAGGTTTGTGTTTTGAATGTCAAATCAAATGAAATCTTAGCTATCGAATGCTTTTGTTTTTGGAAACAAAGAAATAGAAACCTTCAATACATCATTATTCTCATGTTATAGACTAATGAAAAATAATGAAATTGTCTCAAAAAAAAGCAGAAAAGAAAGGAACAAGTGATTGATTGCTACAGGAAACGTTTGGATACATGAAGTCGAGAACAAGCTTACAGATTATCATAAATGATTGATGATTGAACATTGAGAAATATATTTTATTTATAATAAATAGTAGCTCCAATTTAAGATCATATGAAAAAGTGCTTTCGTGGTTAAGTACTAAAACTGCGTTTGTTGCACAGCCTTTCAAACGCTTTTCTGGATTTCCCTCTTAAGGCTTTTACGCTCTCAATCATAATTGCTCTGCTCCTTTAAATTTTCACTTGAACACATAATTTTTACCTTTTCGTACAATGAATGACAGCATATATAAATAGCATGAACAGCTTTTGTGTGCTTCACCCAACAAATAATAATATAAGTTCAGAACGCCGAATCATAGACTAACAGCTTTGTGTTTATGACATTTCTTGTAATTAATCTCAGCATTGATCTCTCACCTCAATATCCAATGGGTCTCACATGCTCACCAGGCTCCCTGTGGGTCACCTTCATTTTCAAAATTAACTTTCGCACGTGCGGTCGCATTCTTCTTGAATTCATGTCTTCGTTGAAGAAGTCAAATTTCCAATTGGAAAAAAGGAAGTTCATAAATGCAGAAAAGAGAGAACAAAACGATCAATGAGCTTTTGGAATTCGTAAGTTTAAAAAGGACAGTGAATCTAATTAGTTTTTATGGCTTAAAGTCAAGTAGAATGAAAAGTTAGACAGAGAATTGGCCATTTTAAATGGTGAAAAGCAAATTGACTGAAGGAACTCAGGGATAAATCAATTCAAATCAGTATTATTTTCAAAATAATGTAATGACAGGAAATATTTTGAATATCCGCAATTGGAGCGATGAATAAAGAAAAATCTTGAGAAATGTATTGAGCTCAACTTTCGTTGAACTTTTCGTCTTTTAAACAACTTGAAATATTTTGAAAGAAAAAAAAAAGTTGGATTACCTCAGGGCATTGTTGATTCCATGTAAGTAAGACGACATGTCTTCTGCAGACTCACTCCTCTGGAATCGCAAAACCATAGGAGTTCTAAAATTAATATTCGTAAGTTTTAATGTTCTCCGCTATCATAAAAATGTTTCTCATAAAAAGACAATAGACTTGTAATTAAAGAGCTTAGATGTTGTGTTTAATCTAATCTACTATGGAGGACAGCTATCCAAAGAGCATGTTGTGTTCATTCGAAAAATATCGAAGCCCACGTACAGAGGATTGGAAAACTACTGGTAGCAGTGGACAAATTCCTTTCTCTTATATAATATGCAATATGCCCTCACACTTTTATTTTAACATTTCAATTATTAATGACTTCGTTATTGTTTTGACTGTTCTGCTTGCTTAACCAAAACTTGAAAACACTTCGAAGGAGGTTGAGGATTTATTGAAACACAACATTAACAACATAAACCGAGGCGAAGAGATCGCGTAGTACACAAATGTTCATTAATTATATAAATATTGAGTTTAACCTCTGAAAGTACCGCCAGGTCGGACCATTCCTCTTGGACCTCCCCGCATTGGCATTCCTCTGCAAAAAAAACGACTTCAATCAGATATTATGAGAAAACCAACCTTTTGAATGTTGATCCTCTTGTTGGACGTCCTCTGGTATCTCCTCCGAGACCCATACCAATGGCTCCCTGAAAAAGCGTAACTTACCCACGTAGCTACAAAGAAAACTGACCTTTTGAGCTCTTCCAATATTCTTAAACATTGGTGCATTTTTAAGCATATCCGGAAGAATCATAAACTTAATCTGAAGCAAAATGGTTTTGAGACCTATATGATTCGAACACGAACTTTATTTCCTCTAATAAATACATTCTCCAACTGATGGGTTCGTCCATCACGGAAAGTAACGACAACTTCAGTCATTTGACAGTTCATATTATCTTCAGCTTCATTAAGCTTTCCTCTGTAAATTTCACCTGGAAAAAAAAAATTGTATGAGTTGAGACGAATGCGCGAAGTTTCAAACCTGTCACGGTTTCTAAAGTAACAATATGGCCTTCGGCCTCATGGAGAATCTTGATGGGAACACCAACAGAAGTCATCTAAATACACTAAATAACTTAATTCAACAATATTAAATTAATAAAACTTTACAAACAAAAAAAATTAATAAATAAAGCCAAGATTACGTCTCTCTGGCATTTCGAATATTTGGCCCGCGTTATAAGGGTACCCTGATCGTAAAGGACTGTGAATCCGCGGGCTTGTTTAGCAACAGAGCGCGATAGCTGCAAGCTGCTTAAAGCTGAGTAAGCAGCCATCACATCACGGAATACTTGGATAGCATCTGGAATTTCTTGGCCGTAAAAATGGAATACTTCTAACTAGTGTCAAATATGGTTTTATCGTCTGTAAAATTCTATGTTGGGCTTGGTCTTATACTATTCATATCAACGTTTGACTTTATTGGTTTATTAATTGTTATAATATCTACGATATTCTTCCTTAGCGGGTAAGGATTCTTGTCTGTTTCTAAATAAAGTTTCTGCAGTTTTTCTTATGTGCTTTATTACCGTGGGCAACAAAAGTACTCGGAACTTAAAGATGACTTCGCTTCCTTAACAGGTTTTTAAATTATAATGTCTTACAATACCTAATCACTCCTCTGCCCAGATTTTCGATATCCGAATGGTATATCACTACTATTACAAAATAAGAACAGATTTAATGATAAATCTGGTTATGACCAAGTTCACTCAATGACAGGATCCGCTGCTATGGATTCAGAGCTTGAACAGGTAGAAACCTTAACAACAAAAATTAGAAGTTTGATGCTTCTTCAGATTTTGAATCTTGTTCTACGTGATTACATCGACTCATGGTACAAACAGTTTTCGACCGACGAATTATTCAAAGAAAGTTTGAAAAGAACGACCAGACGATCCATTTCAGCTTTGTCTCAGAGGCAACTCATTTATCTAACCCTCAATTCCCAACAAAATATCTTTCAGTGTGAAAAGAGTAGACTGGAATACGTTCTTCACTCGTCATCTGATTGATGATTTCGCATCTCATCTCCGGCTATATAGGATGGCTACTGAAAAAGCCGAAAGTATATTAATAGTCGTGAAGTCTGATCAATTTTGTGTCTTTCAGAAAATAAGGAGAAGAGCCAAAGTGATTTGTTGAGTTATTTCTTCGACTTCGAACTGGAAATGGAGAAAAGCATCTGTCGTGATTTAGTTTCCACAACTCCCCATTATGAGAACGGTTAGAACAATATTGTAAAACTGAGTCCTATCTATTCCTTAAGCATATCTTCATGATTTGGTGGATATCATTCTGTATCTGGTAATGCCTCCGGAGGATTTCAGATGTAGGCCATTAAGGTTTTTACTCCGAGAGATTATAGGTACGCTCTTGCTTCTGCTTCTTTTTTCAATTGCTATATAACAGTCCGTCAAATTATTATGCCGTTACTGAACAAGTTCTCTGATCCTGCGGAGATGACAAAACTGATTGTTTGGCTTGTGAGTTTGCTTCTCATGATAGTAGGTGAAAATTTGTTTTATTTTGTAGTTCAGTGAAGTAAATCCACGACCAGAAGATTTTGTCCTATGTCTCGAGAACAGTACTTCCATGGAAGAATTACAAGCAGTTTATAACTGCGTTCTGAACGAAGAACTCGTGTTGAGAGGAAAAGATTCCGGTGGAGAACAAGGTGAGTGATGTGTTTTGCATCAATCTGTTGAATGAATTTTCAAGGAGATTTTGTGAAACAACAATTGGGAAGTTTGGAGCACGTAAAGTTTTTGATCAATAAAAAAATGAGCAACTTCACCCTCGAACAAGGAGTAGATGTGGTTTGATAACGCAAATAGAAATATATTGAAAATTACGTTGCAGGTCGGTACACTGGAACCTGAAAAGCAGTTGATAAAACTTCCTCTTCATGTAGTTCTTACTAATAATGTTGCTGTTTCCTACTTCTTTGATTTTCTACAAACTGTCGGAGGCCAAAATTATATCGACTGCTATTTGGCTATTGAGGTATTTGATAGTTGTAGATTTAGGTTCATCATCATAATGGATTATAGGGATTCAAAGTATCAGTAGAGCATCAATTGCGTTCATTATCTAATGGAGAATCAGGAGAAGATGATGTTTATGAGACTATTAAAGAAGCTGCTCAGAGCATGTATCATCAATACTTGTCACAAGAAGTAAGCGTCTAAGGAGGTGTAAAAACTGAGAACGTTTTTAAGGCCATAACTCGTGTACCTCTTGACGAAAGTTCCATCAACAAGTTTCTCACTCGATTGCGTCATGCTGACCTGATGGATACCTGGTTTGAAAACATCCAGGATAAAGTAGATTCAACTTTATTTCAAATTTTAAACTTTGTTTGAAGATTGTCGAAGTCCTTCGAAACGATGAACAGTTCTATCCTGCTTTCCAGCAAAACCCCTTGTACTCGAAAATGTTGATTGAGTTAGGAATAATGAGAGATCAAGAAAGATCAGAGACTCCTCTCTCTGAGCTCTCCGTTTGTTCTGATGAGCCTGTCCCTAAAAGTCCTGTGAAGGTGATTTATACTTTGTGAAATTTGATTATTTTGATACTGCAGGAGGAAAAAATGGATTTCACTACACCGCCAAGTATAACAACGAAAGCTGTAGTTGAAACACTGGGAATTGGACATGTAAGATGTTACATTTAGAAGATATTCACATTTTCCTCATTTTAAAGGGAAAACAACCTTTCGCGGTTTATAACGTAAGAGTCAGTAAGGAGGAAAATGGAAAGAACACATGTTCTTGGAATGTCCAAAGACGCTATAGTGATTTCCATATGCTTCATTCGTTCATCGTCCAAAAAGTATGACCTGGTAGCAGAAAAAATTTGGAAACATGTTTTCAGTATCCAAAACTTTCTTCACTTTCTTTTCCCGGCAAAAAAACTTTCAACAACTTGGATCCTCACTTTCTTGAAAAAAGAACAAAGGTTTCTATATAACACAATTTGTACTCAACATGAAGTTCAGGCTCTCAATCAGTTCCTCGAAAGCATCTTGCAACCATCTTTGATCCAATCTTTTCCTGAGCTTGACCGAGTCATCCATGATTTCCTTTGCCAACGAGATTATACTGGCTCGAAAGAATCAATCGGGCGAAAGGTGAACAAGATCATTCCGTTTTGGTTTCAGCCTTGTTTTCTCTATTCAGATGATGTCTGTGTTCGATCCTATCAAAAACGGTGTGAAAGCTGTAGGAAATACCGTGATGGCCGTACCGGAACAGGTATGATCTCCAGTAAGGAATATCTTCTGATTGTTGATTTCAGATGTTTGATGGAGTTTCTAAAAGTATCAACATAGCGAAAAGAACTATGGTTCGTTTCAACTCCAGTTTTTACTGAACTGTCATTTTCAGATACCTACAGTCATTCCAAAAACACCAGTCATTGTTCCGGGTCGAGTTGCTGCAGCAATATCAGATCAAGATGACTCGGAAAATATCCCATTGCGAGTTCTGATTTTGTTTGTCGACGAAGTCTTCGGCGTTCGAGGCAGAAACGCATGGTTCCGCCGTCAAATGGTTCTAAGTTCCCGAGTTTGCTTTCTTATTTTCGAATTTAGGTTACTATGTTGAGACAAATTGTAACTCCCTTCGGAACAACACTAAACAAGAAGATTATAAGTATGGTTAATTGGCTCACGAGTGAGCAACAGGTTACCCTGTATATCGTGGCTCTCAGGTATTTTGTAACCCTAAATCTCCATAACATTTTTCAATTACAGAGAAATCTTATGGCCCGATGGACATTCTGCTCCACCTTCTGCTCCTATATGCCCTAGTTTTGCTTGTCGTTCAAAAGTTTTAGCGAAAAGTTTGATGCTGTCAGCTTTACCGGACGAGCTGCGGATAATTCTCGGTGCCGACACTACATACCAAGTACGAATTTGTATAAAGCGAACCTTAATCAGTTTTAACCTATTAAGGGTATTAACACTATCACCGAAGCTCTTCAGAACAAAGATTTAAATAGGAGACTGCTATATGTCATATTCGAACGTTTGCTGATTGCAATATTCCCCGACAACAGGTTTGAGAGAATATTCGCTCAGCTTCATAGTAAAAGTCCTCGATCTCAAAGACCGTGATTGTAAACTATTCATTTTTTTCTAATTTCTGATTGATTTTACATTCCATTCATATAATATTTGTAAATATGAAAGTCCATTCTGGTCACTTGTTTATACGCCAGTATAATAAAGTATTACTTACCATCACTCATAACTTCACACGATTTTTCTTCGTCTTTTATCTTCGATCACATGATTACATTCTAAACTTGACTTTCAGACCATGATAATAGAGAGTAGTTTTGCGTGGATAATCGGTTCAATACTAACATCCTCATGCGCCTTTTATGTTTTCAAAAATTGGAAAAAGTTGAAAGGAGATTCCTCTCAAAATAATCCAGACTTTCGACTACTACAGATTCGGTTTCTGTTTCCATATTTAGTTTCTCTTTTTTCTGAGAGTCTACAGGTGCAACTTGGAACTACTTCAGTGATTTTTAACTTCATTTTAGACTCCATACCTCTATTCACTCTTGCATAGTTTTCACTACTCATCTTTTCAAATTGCGTTCCTATATGGAGTTGGGTTATTCACCGATTTAGTTTTTCGGATATTCAAGATTCGTATCTGTTCCTTATATGGTTTGAACCTCATATTTTGGTCAAAACAAGTGGACATTCAGGGAGAAGAGCTATAAGCCTTGTTTGCTTGGCCGCTGGGACTCTGGGTTGCTCATTCAAATATTTCAATTATATACCGCTTTTATTTGTGGGAAGAATTTTCGATGGAGTTTTTACTTCTCTTATAAACTCTCCTTTCCAACTGTGGTCAGTTCGTGTGCCTAAAAACTTATAGTCTCTTCATTAGGTATAATCACGAGCATGTTGTGCGTTTATTCTTCCCATCGGAATGGATGTCTACAACTTTCACTTTTGTTTCTATAGGATCGGCTTTTCTAACTGTCATTGCTGGCTACTTCAGCGAGGTTCTCATGACTCTCACAAGCTTCATAATCGCTTTCTTCACCAGGTTTTGGTTATCATGACTCGAGTTTTCTCTGTGCCTTTTGCGTTTTCAATTTTGGGGTTAGTCATTAGTGGAGTTTTCATTGGTGTGATGTGGCTAGAAAACTATCCAGTGGATTCTCCTCTTCCTGTCGGGATCGTAGTAGGAAGGACTTTACAAGTAATTTAGTTCCACATATTATCTGTAAAATTTCTCTCTGAAGACAATGGTGTCGTCATCTTTCGTGTTGGTTCTCTGTGTGGTTTCTACTATATTAGAATGCTGTTTCCAAACATTTACTTTCATCTGGTCACCGATTCTAATACATTCAGAACCTTCTGCTTATCAGGAGATCAGGTAATTGAATCTGTTCTTGAAGTATTCCAACTTGCCTTTAGCTTTGGAGCTATATGGGCTTCTCTTTCTGCATCTTACTTATGTGGACTTTCGGTTTTTTCATCGCATTACCTAAGAAAGGTTTCTAATTCTCGGATTTTATGCGGTTCTATTCTTGTAGCTACATTCTCTTGGATGTACAGGTAGTCTGCGGAAATGTTTCCTTCATTACATTTTTTGTTAGTTTCTATGAGCTATCAGCTAAAGAAGAAAAAGCTTGGAGTGCATTCAATGCTTTGATCGGTTTCCATTTTTTCAACTTCTCCATAGGACTCTTCATGCCTGCAGCAGATGCTCTTCAAGTTAGACTGTGTTCTCTGGGATTATATGAGAACATATTTTCAGGCTACTTTGATACCAGGCGTTCAGAGATCGAATGTCTCATCACTCACTCGGATCTTTGTAAATATAATGTGTTTAGTACTAATACTCGGGGTATTTCCTAAATCTAACGGATATCATGATGTCATTTTCATAATTCTATGGTAAGTCCCTCTCCTGGCAAATCAGTGAGACATTCGCCTTTCAGCCTACTGATAATCAGCTGTATCCTCGTCATCATTTTGGATGTAGCATTATCGAAGAAGTATAATCGGGATCTGAATGATTTCAACCATATCATTTTTAACGAATCTATTTCGGGTGTTTCAGAAGCTTGAGAAAGTTGAGATAGAATGTGAGAATATTTTTATTAATCGGGTATCTTAATGGCCTTATAAGGCAATGACATCTTCTAGCTTTAAGCTCTAATGGAGCGGAAATATGACTGAAATTTACATATTAACATTTCCTCATCATATTTCCGATTTTATTCTGATTGACGTGAAATAAAATAACAAACGGACGTTTATGCTTATACATCAAAATGAAATTTCCACAAATACATATAAGGAAGGTATCATTGCGGCCATCACTTTCTTCCAAAACGGATGTATTGGGACTTTCTCTTTTCCATGTCAGCAGATCGACCAAATCTCACAAAAGCTGATTTCCGCTTTTCCATGTCCTTCAAAGATTCCTCACTTATTATTTCGCCAAACTCACATTTCTTACCAGACTGTCGATGCCAGATCGCTTCCCGAATCGGACAAATGCAGACTTCCTCTTCTCCATGGGAGATGAAGTAGCTGCCACTGTTGAAAAATGAAAATTGAGAAGAATGGTAGAATGGAGGAACTTACTTTGTGCTTCCGTATCCTGGAGCAGATACTGCAACTCCACCAAGGAACCCTATAGAAAATTAAGAAAGCTTGAGACAGTGAGAAACCTGAAGTGTGTCGTGTAAACGGCACAGGTGGAGACTGGGGAATTGCCGGCAAAATTCTTCGGAAAGAACGTCTTCATTTGTGTTGGCCATGGAAAATCCGAAGAGAAGCACAGAGAAGAAGATGTTGAACATCATATTGCAACCCTTGAACATGGACGTAAGAAGTCAGAAGTTGTAAATGTCAGAAGAATTCGGTTCTGAGCGTTTGGCGAGCTTTCAATTGAATAAAAATGTAGAGGGTGAGAAATATGGCTGTTAGTAAAGTGTTATTTACAAAAAGTAGATTAGCACAGACATTGAGAAAAACGAAAAGATGAGAAGAAAATATTCAGCATTCCTAAATTATGTGAAAATCATTGCAATAAATTTTCTCCGCCTTTTATAGCAGCCTTGGGAATGCACATCCGATGCGTTAATGGCCTAAGGTACTTTTCTGCTTAAAGAAATATGTCTAGGTTGGAATTAAATATGAAATATGCTTGATGTCCAAAATCATGTTCCAACTACAGCTAATACGGAGGATATGTTTAGAAGAGAAGCTGGAAATATATTTTATAGCTACGGGTCTAAATCGTTTCTGTTTCCTTGACGCTCCTCCACAAAATACCTAATAAAATCCTTTTCGAGGATTTTTTTCTACAAAGAAGCTGAATTGGTGTGAGCAAAATCTCATAGAATCTTCTCATATGTACTCATATTTCATTGTATTTCATAAAACACATCATTAGACTTGGAAACTATTTATCAAATGTACAACTCGTAATTCTCACATTCACATGTATATCAGGATTATAATTAAGTTTAAATATTTAAAGAGCCGCATTCAAGTTACTTATACTGCTCGAGTAATTATTTTCTATTAAACTTGCATTCGAAGATTTTTGAGTGCTTCTTGATGAACCCTTCTCGTTTATGGCAGCATCAATCGCTGCATTCACTAGCTTTATCTCGTCGTCTCTCGATAACTGTCGGTTCCTCACCTGCAACGTTATGCTATGCTTGAGAACATAAAAAACGAAATGATTCATACCTTAGTTATCGAAGCTGTTCTTTGTACTCTATCTACATGGGTTATATATTCAATTATTAAATCACGAAGTAGAGGCACGAACGCCTGTTTCGTACACACCTTATCCAAAACTCTGATAAGAAAAAGTTTGACAATAAACTTTCCCGAATGAACAAACTTGAATATGGCTTTCTCGCTGTGAAGGATTTCACAGCAACCAGTTTTGAGTATGAGTTCTAAAGAGAAATCGTTCATAAAAATAAGGAATTCCTCCGGCTCCATTCCTAGCCGGCTCTCAACTTCTTCTCTGATCTGAAGGATATCATTTTGAGAAGAAGTTCAAATCGTGTTATACCTCAGCTATGGTTTGAGATAGTTTCACTGGATGGAAGGTTTCATCCAATGTGTTTATCAGTTCTCTGGATATGTGGAATAAGTTCATCCAGTCATCATGACATAATAGGTCAATACATCGCACTATCTGAAAAGGCATTAGCTCATCTAAGTGCCAGGAATAAACCTATGTACTCACAGCTTTTACAGTCGACACGACTAGATTGTTCTCAATATTTTTTAATGATTTTATCTTTTCTATGGGTAATTCACGACGTAGTATCAATATCATCTGAAGAACTCAGTTTGTTAATAACAGAATATCCGGAGAACCTGGACTATATCCCAAGATGTAGGCATCAATTTATCATTTTCAATTGTTCCCTCGTATATCCGCATTGTTTGTAGACACTTCAAAAGAACATGAGCCTGATAAGAAAAACATAGACAAGTTACGATTACTGAAGGAACCTCTTCTTCCCTGTGTTTTTCTATCACATCACGGGACTCTGTGTAAGCACTACTAATCCCCAAAAGATATCTATAACACTGACATCTGGAAAAGAGAAGTTGAACACTTAACGAGATAGAAAGTTTCACCTGTATGAGTGGAGAATGCATAACTTCCATGCTACAGTTTTCAGCTTCCATATGTCAATGTCAGTTTTAGATTGAAGAATCTTGAACGGATGAGTTTTAATGTAAAATCGATATTAAAAACCTGCTGTAGTATATCACCATCACTTTCAACACCCCCATCCTTAAAGCATTTATTAATTAGTGAGAACCGAAAGTTAGTGCTTCTGGAGTTCTCAATCGATTCCATCCTGTAATGAAAAACGATCAATTAGATATTTTCAGTTTAATAAAAAAAAGAAAGATATAGGATTGTGTAATGATAACAAGAATTGTTTTATTTTCTTTCCTATTTTTAGTCTTCTCGGTCTCAGCTGCTAACATCCTCTTCGTCATAAGGTGTCAAAGTCCTTCATGAGATTTTTGAAAGCGATGATTGGTCTTTTGTTCAAGTTTTTCTTTATGTTTCAAGTGATAATTGATGAGAAGTGATCGAAAAGTTCTTTTCAATTATAGCATTCAGGAGGAACATTATCCATGAACACTTGAAAGGATATATTCGATCGAAGATAATCGTTTTCGCTGAACAAAAATGAAGAAAGTGCAAAAACATACCGAGCAAGCTTCTTGAGTTCATTAAGTAGGTTCTTTGGGGAAGTTGTAAAAGAATAAAAGATCTAAAAGAGTAAAACTTAATTTCCATGAGTTTCTTGAGCCAAATGATGTCAGTCTGGTTAAGCTGACAAAGACAATTATGAAGTCCAACATCATTCGTATGAGTTAACTGATGACGAGGAAAGGTGTTTACAAGAAAAGTTCTCGAACAAGAGTAAGTAAGAATAGTATTCTTCATGTGTATGGAAGGTTAAAATGTTTTTAGCCATGCAAAACAAAACTTCCGACTTGAACTAATCGCGAGCGGTTAGCACAAACTCGGGGGGTTCCAATCAACTCTCGGCAAATTAAAATGACCACTGGCAAGAAATTCAAAATTCAATTACATCATTTTGACTTTTTACAATTTCTCGATCTCTATCTCTATCTTTTTTAAAGGTAATAATTATATGAAAACGAGCCTTAAACGATTTGAGATCGAAGAGCTTGACAACCTTGTTCGCTGTAAAAAGAGTTGCAGATTAAGAAATTATGGAAACGTTTTAAAGTAACGAAGCGTGAGAGGGAAAATGAAAAATAAATGTTTGAATATCTCTTTCTATAATGACGGAATATTTTTTGACGAATTTTTTCTTCTTGTTTTCAAGAAAGTTCTCTCAAAGCAAATCATTTAATTTTATCATAAGGCTAATGCGAAAATGTGATAAACACGTGTAGCAAAAAGTTTCTGATGATGCTTGCAGAAAACCCATGGGGTTTTGATAAAATTGCCTCTTTGCCACAAAAAAAACAGAAAACAGGCTCTCAGAAATATGATGATCATAGATAGAAAGAAACTAATCAGAAAGAAATCGCAACTTCTACTGTCACAAGACTAAGCCTAGGCCAAACTACAAAACAACAACGCGCGAGTAACCATTTGTATAAATCAAGGACTTGTATCGTATACTCTCAGAACTGATAAGATGATGCAAAATGATCTGGAGAGGTGTTCATCAGTCTCACGATCCCCTTTAATTCCAAAAGCTTATGCTGCATCCCAAAATTTAAATAGTTTTGCACCCAATCTGATACTATTACAATGAGTGATGAAGCTTTCTATCACGCAGTATGATATCATTTCAAGTGCCAATAGTCGCCAATAGGACTACAATGATCAATTATTCATTATGAAGTGATCAGAAAAGGTAGGATTTATGAATACGGAAGAAGTGCTAAGAAAAGAATTCCGGAAAGTAAAAGTTTCTTGTAAAAACTTGTTGATACTACCATGCGTTATGAGTTCGCTAAACGGATCATCGTATGCTGTGGTAAGAAGATTGATTGATGAAGAAGGGTTCTTTTACTTGATTCTTGAAAGAAAACAAACATTACTGCTGATTGACAAGTAGCAGAGATTCAAGGGATGCGACAGAGTATCAATGGTTATCTTGGCTAAGTGAGACAACAACTTGTGAAATTGTCACCACGACCAAAACTGTTTCGACCAATGAAAGACCATGATTGAAACAACACACAAAGAAAACGGAGAACTGAATGCCACCAGAGTAACAGAAGAACAAAACTATTGCAGTTTCCTATTTTGCGGTTACCCTTTCAAAACAACTCGTAGCCCTGCTCACTGCGGTGCGCTCTGTCAGATAAAGTGGTTTTAGAGAATAACTATTCCACAAGAAATGGATTACATCAACGCTCAAACTTCATTATCAAAGAACCAAACACATACATTTTGTAACAATGATTATGAAAAATGAGAATATTAAACTTCAAACTTGAACGCAATTCTAATATAAGATTGTGTCGAAAAGCCAATAAAGAAATAAGAAATCAGCTATACCTCCCGAATCTCCTGAGAACATGCAGAAGGTTACAAATGATGAATTATTCAATGTCACGTGGACAATCTATTTACATTTCTTATTTTGGAAATAAGGAGGACAAAGAATCAAAGCCAAAAAAATGCAAAAACATATACAAAGTCCCCATTTAGAAAATTTACACCGGAGAAGGAAAATTTTTCGGACGTCTTGAAAACCTTAAATAATCCATCTACCAATTCAGATCTTAGTTGGAACCACTGCCAGAAGGCATGTCATCATTGTTTGTCGTATCATCAGGACCTTCTTTGGGTTCCATATCCCCCTCGTTTTCTCCGAAGTTCAGCCAGGACTAGAAGTACACGCTTATTTCGATGAATTATATTTCAAACAAACTTGTTCGACAATTTGTTGTACCCGCTTTTCATATTCTCTTCTATTTTCTTGATATAACTGTGCTGCATGAGAATTAGCTGGAGAGTTAGGATTAGGCTCATCCAAAAGAGATTGAATAGATGTGAGAATAGCCGCAACATCATAGGTAGGCGACCATCGATTCTAAAAGTTCATTATTCAACAGAACTATATGTTTTCAAAAACCTGTAATATATCGAGACAAATAGACCCATCTGCGTAAACGTTAGGATGGAACATTTTGGAAATGAACTTTACAGTAGGTGGCTTATTAGGGTATTCTTCCGTAAACTCTAAGGTGAGCTTAAAAGTCCCATCTTCGAATGGTGTGTCCTGAGGACCAAAAATAATAGCTTCCCAAGCCAAGATGTTGTCTTCGGTAGGTGCACCAGAAACACCTGCTGGAGGATCCTCCTATGAAGACAAATAAATCGATATAAACTAAATGAGTAAGTTACTTGTAGTTTTCTGAAGTCACGCATGAGCCGACGTCGACTAGGTGTAGTCATTCTTCACTGACCTACTGAGAAAGCACGTAGGGTTCTAGAACAAACAAATACAAAATAAAAGCAGAGGTTGAAGCAAATAGCAAGTAGGATGCTGGCTCAATAACCATAAGATGATGAAAACAGGAAAATATATTATTTTTAATTCAATCATGTTAATCACTGATATTCCTCGGTGTCATATTGAGATCTGTCTGGTTGAGATATATTTTGGGAAACTTCGACTTGCTCTGATCGTCTTGTAGGTCGAATCCATTCATTTGCGATTTGTCGAAAATACACAACTTCATTGCCTGCGCTACTCTAAAATGACTTATTTGGGCTTTATGATATGGCGCTACTTACCTGTTCTAGTCTGTCAAACACAGACTCTGCTCGATCTAGAAGCGAAGTCAATCTGCTCTGATTTAAAACCTGTTTCTCAAGGGTCAGTCGCTTCAATTCCAAAACATCAGAGCCTACATTCGATCAATATTATATGGCTGCTTAACAACATTAATACTTTTGACACAGCCTGAGGTATTAACCCCGTAAAAGGACGAATCATCTGTTGCGAGAGATCTTTTGCTGTTGGGCACGGAACGCCCATTATAAACAGTATTCTAAATTAACCAGTAGAGTTCACAATGCGATATGATATACCCGTCCGTGAGGAGGTCGATAGAGGTATGTGATAACAGCTAGATGACTATTGACTCGAGGAGATGACGACTTCTCCCTTGCCACAAAAATTTTTCTGACTAAGCCGACCAATTGAGTTGTTTCATACCGTTTCGCAACAATCTAATAAAACGTAATTATTAACTTCTCTTAAAGTGATAACAGACTGATGACTTAAAGTGAAGAAATAGTGCTTTGTTTGTAAGAACAGAGTCAGAGAACTTTTAAATGTAAAATTCGTAGAACGAAAAAGCTAGCGGAACAAGATCAGCGATGAAACTTATGAAATCTTTCTAACGAGGAGAAGAGCAAAACAACAGCTGAGCACCGAAGTTCACTAACAGCCTTAGTGAAGGTTGAAACGTATTATATGATACCAGGTTGCGTCAGTTTACATGACCAGGAAAAACGAAAGAGGTCAGGAAAGCATTACCTGCACATCATAGTCACTTGGGCTCGGAGGTCGCAAACTAGTATCTATTCTGATTGCGTTTCCGTCATTGTCGAAGCGGAAGAACCTGGAATTTGCTTAATAAGAGAGCTAACATCCTGAATATACAGTAAGTTGCTCAGAAAAAATATTTACCTGCTACTACCGGATGGCTTGTTCCATTCACGACCATCTTTACCAATAGCTCTCTCACCTCCACATCGAGTAACGTCTAGTACAAAAGTTCCACACTCACGGTATTGTTGTGGCACCCGAATACATATTCTAAATGCAAATCTTCACATTTGTAACCTAATTTGATCGATGTCAAGGTGTTTCAATAAATCCTTAATCGATTGGAACAAAAAGTTGCATCCCTTTATAATCAACAAAAGCATATTGTCTAAATTGGGATTCAGGTGAAAATTAAAGAAACGATCAATATTCTCGATGAGAAAGTGAAGGAAGACTACTACACTTCACAATTACTCATCTAACTATGAACAAATATTTGATTTTGTTTTCTGCTTTTAGCTATTCTTCAATTTGAAACGTAAACTCACCCTCATAGATGTTTGTCAATTAATATCAAAATTGCGAAATAATAATAAAGAAGTTAAAACATAGTTGGTACAGCGAGAGCGCGATCGATAGCCAGCCCGGTCTTCATGTCATGCGAGCGGCAAGCAGGCGGCGAGCCGCGCTGCTGAGGACGACATAAATAACTCTTTTCACTTTCGCATATGATAAAAACATGGGAAAGGATAATCAACGGCTATGTTTCAGATTTAAAAAGATTGAGGAATTATTTGAGATGAAGAATGCATTTTTTTGGTTTTATATTTTGAATAATTCAATATAACACACCTATTTTCTGTTATCATGAATGTTGCCATTAAAATTCGACAAGCAGAGTCGAAATCTACTGTTGCTTTTTTGAAAATCGGCTGACCACGATATGTTGCCATTTCATCATGCAATAAGTCTGGTCTAGTACACTAAATTTCGAATTGTTCTCGTTAACTGCTATCTTCAACCTCCCAAGAGCGTGAACAGAAAGCTCGTTCTTTAAGAGTTGAAGCCATTTGGATTGTCGATGTATCTACAGCAACAGGATGAGGAGTCCCTTCCCATTCGTAGACAATAACAGAATGACATGATGGAACTCCCTCTCGTGTTATTCCTAAAATTGTTTCATTGATACTGCTGTTGACTAGGCTTTACCAGTATAAATTTTTTTTATAAAAGCTCCTCTGGAATCAGTGCCAGGGTGAACATATCTGTTGCAATAAATCTATGATGAGTAAATAATAAATGATGCGATAGACATGCAAACCTTCGCTACAAAGTCTACGCTTGTTGATACAACAGCTTTATTTGTATTATTAAGCTTGAAAAATCTGAAACGAGCTTCTATTTTGTACTAAAAATGAGAATGCTTCATCACTTTGAGGTACCTTGGGGAACTCCCCAAGATCCAAGAGAGTCTAGAACAATTTCGTGTCTATTACGCAGCCCGGTTATATCCACAACAAAAGAACCCACACCAGTAAACTCCTGCGGTACAGATGTGCAAACCTTGTCAGAACTAACCTGAAGAATGGAAGCATAAAAAAATTGCTTATAAGCATTGTGAATCATACACAACTAGCTTCAGTGACAATTATTTGCGCTGCAGTGGCAAAAGTTTCAGGATTGCAGCTAAACATTGTCCATTCTAAATGCCTACCAGGCACATCGTTCGTGACGAATATTCTCGAGACAGACTCTTCTTTAATTCCTGAAAGAAAGGAATTTGATTGGAAATCAGTGCATATGCTAAGATGAACCTGTAGAATCATCGACAACGGTTGGACCGTGAACAGCTTCTCTGAAGGCTTTATCTCGAAGTAACCTGGCGCTTGTTCTTCGCTGATTTATTATATGTACAACTCTGAAAATCGAATAATTCCCTTTTCGAACTAACATTTATACCTACTGGTTTCCTCTTCCTCTCCTTCTAGATGGCGGAACATACTCGCTTGGCCAAACGTTTACGTCTTCAGAAGAAACTTCTATCATCTCTGAAGTATCCCCGATATCAAAATGCTCCATTTCTTCTAAAATTAATTTGTTCCAATCAACTAATTTGCGCTTTGTACCTATATGAGTAGCATCGTAAACTACTTCTTCATTCGATGTTGATGGCAAGTTAGTAAAAGTTAAACCGTTCTCATCTTGCCGTTCCATCCCTGCTTAAGAAAAAAGCTAATAGAGATTTTCCAGTAAATTGTCCTCGTTACAGGGAAGTTTTACTTCATTGATTCAAGCGAGAAGCACAAAGAAAAACAAATTTGAAAGAAAGTTTCAAATTGGAAAACAAAGCACAGCCACGTCATAGCGTTTTTACGAAATAAATAAAGCTAGTTGATTTCCACGGTACTTCATTGGAATTCACGTCCAGGACCATGTGGTTCACGTGAACCCACGTGAGTGCATTTTCTCATTGTCATTAACAATAAAACTATTGGGCTGTGTAATTGAATTTGAGAACAGAAGCTTGTTCTTCTCATGAATAGTTGCTTAATCGAGAGAAATATGAGAACATGTAGAATTTTCTAGCAGAAAGTTCATGTTAATTATGAGCCTGAGAAGCTCATCGTATTTAGAAAATGCATTTGTATATCACACATCAACAATGCTTTAACACAACAAGGCTTCCCTCTTCTTTGAGCTTTTTGTTGGAGAAGTGTGCATTTCCACTCAGGACCAATTGTACATTTTTGAAGTAAGTTCAAAACTTTAGACATTTCTAATTATTCATGAAAGCATAAAATATTAAATAATGTAATGAACTGTTTTCAGATACAAGAAGATGATAAGATTTGCTCTAAATAGTTTTCTACATAAAGTCAGAAGCCCGTCATATTTGAATAATGTAAGCGGTGATTTACGAATAATCTCTTTAGAGTAGTTTTAGAGTAAGAAAAGAATCAGTTTATTAAGTAATAATGGGGTTATCAAGAACCAGAAAAGGAGTATTCTGTTTAAAATGGGCAACGAAACACCGTCTAGAGTAGTGGGATATTACGTGATGTGAGCACTTTACTTTTTCGTTTCAATTTGTTTTCCTTTTAGCTTCCCACATATACCAGAGGAAACAGTAGAAAATAACTCGTTCTTATTTGGAATAGCGAAAAACGAAGATTGGCCTAGACTTAATTCATCCACACCGAAGGTTCTGCGGAAAAGCACTGTGTTTTCATCCTTTAGATTCCAGGAAATGTACGAAGGGACCGTTCGCTTATTGATGGAATATGGAGCAACTTGCATGGAGCACATCGAGCATTTGCCAAAATGTTTGTTTTGTTTTTCTTTTTTTAGTTATTTAGTTTATTCAAGTGCCTGAATCAGAGAAGTCATTTGAGAATGTTGTTGATCCTTTACTTACTGAAGAGTGGGAAGTTAACTATGCTTTCCAAACTTTAATGTTGAAGATGTTGACTGATTGGCCAGATTGCAATCGTAAACTATTTGATGAAGATTTACATCATGTAAGCTGGAGTATGAACTGTCGATTCATTCTTTTTTCAGATCAAAATAACTTGTGCTCGGGATCAGATGGAAAAGCTTATGAGTCCAGATTTTCAACAAGCTATTCAGGTTCTTTTGCTCTCATTTTTTGTATTATGATTTTGTTCTTTTTAGCATCTTTATGCTAGCAAAGATGGTTTAAATGAATGGCAACTGCGTTTGTTAGAATGGTACTTGCTCGAAGTTAGTCCTTTCATTATAAATATTTCACTCATATAATTCTATTTGAGATAAATGCAAGTGGTCTCGATAAAACGGATGATAAAGTCAGAAAACTAATGGGTTCTTGGGGTCGATTCATAGACGAATATCGTAGCAAATACATGTGAGGGTTTTAGTGTACTCTCATCAAAACCTTTGTCGATTTCAGATCGAATGTAATGGCCACAAACGATCAGAATGTATGGGCTATAAATGAACGTCGTGCTTTGAAAGATGCTCCTCCTCATATCCTCCAGAAGTTATCTCTAGATCCGTAAGTTTGTGTTTAAGATAGTGTGTGATAAGTGGTCTCTATAGAACAAGTTGGGAAAATGGACCTTGGAGAGGCAGAATGACTCCTCACACTATTTATCCTTTCATGCAGTATTGTGGAGATCGTGGAGTGAGTTTTTCCATTTGAATTATTTTTATTATTTTTTTTCAAGATGAGAGCTGAAGCTTGGGAGAAATGGATCAGTAAAGCTTCGTTTGAGCATGATTTCTATAATAATTCTATTAATATTGAAGAATTACGCCATAATAAGTTAGTTCACTACTGAAAAGATTGATACTTAAGGTTCCCTTTCAGCGAAGGACTTGCGAAAACCTTGGGATATTCTTCCATAGCAGAACATAGACTATCTAACAAAATGGCATCTTCTCCAGATACCGTCCGAAACTTCTTGAATGCGTTAGTACACCTTCATGTTCCACCTCAAATTCTCCAACGATTTTAGCCTTGTTCGGCGTATACGTCCTGTGTTCATCGACAGAATGGAATCATGGACTGCTTATGCTCAATCAAAGGAGATGATAACTTCTGAACTACAAGCTCACGATTTATTCTATATCTGTAGAAAGGAAGCGGAAGATCATTATGAGTATGTTGACTCGAATCATTCTCGACTCTTAAATATTATGTTTAGTATTAATCCAGTTGAATTGATGAATCACTTCCCATTTTGGGATACTTTCAATAATCTCACAAATCTAGTCGGTCAAATTTTCGGGTTAGAGTTCAAAGTTAGTTTATTCCTTCAATCTGCTTGATTTGAATGTTTATTTAAGGACATCAGCGACACTGGACTCGAAAAGGCCCATCCTGATGCTAAAATCTTTGCGGTTAAAGATTTGGCAGATGGAAAGCACTTGGGTCGTTTGTACATAGATCCTTATGATAGAGAAAGCAAACGCGCCGGTTGGAATACACTACTCGGAAGAAGTATTTTTTTATATATTATATTAATTTATTTGCTATATTCAGCGGAATCTACTGAACGTGGTCTGGACAAGTTAGTATATTTGATTGGTTCTGCTATTCCACCCATGGAGAACAAACCTTCTCTTCTTCATTACCAACAACTGCAACAACTTTTGTTCCATGTACGTCAATATCACAATTATACATATATATATATATATATATATATATATATTATCAAATACAACTCATAACCTCATTTCAGTTCGGTAAAGCTGTACAATTATTCTTGTCGAAGGCACCTTATAGAGACATTGCTGTTCCTTGGGCTCCCTTCTATGCCAGTGATTGGGATGCAGCTGATATGTTCCCATCATTCTTGAATTTCTTCATTTACAAGCCTAGTCTACTTCAATCTTTGAGTTCTAACCATATTGTCAGTTTCTTTACTTCATGTTTACGTTATCGTTCCGATATAGACAACGGGACAAGCCATGTCGGAAGATCTCGCCAATCATGCTTCACTAGCTTTCTGTCGTTCAACGTTATGGGAGACATATAGAACCCTCTTCTGGGCCGATTATGATTTGTCTTTGTACGAAATGGAAAATAGAAAGTTTGTTTGCTTCTCAGCTCGGACGTAATGAACTAATTTAGGGACAAGTTCTGGCTTGACATGTACCGTGAGATGTCAAAAGAATATTTCCCCTTCAGAATGAACAAGGTGGATTACCATCCATGTTCCTTTGTTCCTATCGCAGCTATGCAGCCTCATATGAGTATGTATTACAGAAAACTCTGGACAGAAGTAAATCGCCTTATCAGACGCTCAGATTTTTGTCGTTTTTTTCAGATGCTTGCTCTTGATATTCATGAAACCTTTGATAGCGAAAACGATGTAGTGAAAACTGGTAATCGTTTGAAAACAAGAGTTCTATACGCTGGATCTGGAGATGTAACAAAGAATTTGTATCGACGATTCCAGGTGATCATATTCTGAACATTTTTTAACCGAAAAAATCTTTGTAGGGAAGAGATCCTAGTGTCGGAGCAATTTGTGATTTTTATGACCCACCAGCATTTTATCATTTAGAAGAAAATAGTGAAGCTAGAAGTTAGAAGTACAAAGAAAGAACATCGGGTGTAAATTTTCGTCTTCGTAGACCTATAGGTTTATAATTTACAGTTTATAATATATTTGTTGATTAGTTGTTTGTTTTTCTTCGTTTTACTAAAGCAATAACTTGATTTGCCTTTTTTTTACAATGTTCATCAGCATATCAATATCTGAGTTTCCTCTTCATAACTTGATATAATGAAGTTTGTAGAAGATGTCTTCTGCTGCTTCCGGTAGTACTGCCGAAAAGGCTGAAATTACTGTGGTAACATCTGTTCCTCCAAGCTTGGACAAAGCTCTTCTGCTTATGGTAAAGAATTTCTTCGGCGATGTGAGTCTCTATTGCTAAATTGTTGCAAGCTGTGTTTTTCTAGCAACACTTTCTCATAGTTTATTACATTATGAAAGCAGTTTGCATACGAGAAGAAAATCTACGGAAACGATTGAATTTCGAACAGAGGGAGCTAAGACAGGTGCTTGTAGTTCTTCCAACTTTTTTCAATATCGTCTCACAGAAGCTGGCTACCTTGAAATCAGAGAAGCTGGTAAAAGAACGGTTATTGCCGTTTAAAAACGAAAGTGGAAGATCTCAATCTATTATATTTTATTTTATTAATTATCGAGCTATTCTGAATGTGTTGAAGTATAAAGTAGATCATATGAGGTTTGAACAGTTCACTGCGGCTTTTGTTCCATATCAACAAATTTCAAGGCAAAAGTTAGAAGCTAAAGAAAAAGAAGATGTCCAGCGGGCTGTCTATAAGTGTGAAGGTTGCGCGTCACAGTATGAGGTTTCATTTTTTTTTATAATTATTCATTCAAACTTTTTTCTATGCTTCAGACTCTGGAAGTTGATCGTATTCTTGATCCATATACTGGTACACTTAAGTGTTGGAGGTGTCAAGGAGAAGTTACTCAGGATGAATCAGGTGGACCAACTCAAATAACACGGCTAGAATCATAGTTATCGTTCTTTCTAACATTTTTTTTTCAGATCTCTTCTAGCTAGATTCAACGAGCAAATGTGCCCCTTATTTAGTGCTATAAGAGAATTAGCAGGAATACAACTTGCTCCTCATTTGTTGGAGCCTGATATTAATCAGTTCCTAGCAGAGGAAGACAAAAATAGTAAGCTCAAGCTTTTTCTTGGAACTTGGAATCTTTTTCAGATGAACAACAAACCCTTGTTGATTTCACACAACCAAATGAACGTGTGGCACTCGGAGGCAAGTCGTTTAGCGGTCATCGGGATTCTAATGGAGTGCATTATAATGCTGGAGATGAAATAACCGTGGATCTCAACGCTGATTTGACGAAGTTTGCCTTGATAATTTATTCCAATCTTTCTTGTTTTATTATAGTAAGCCAATGGAAGAAGCTAAGCAAGTTCCTGTCTGGCTTCAAGATGATGCTATCACGCAGGGAACAGAGCATGCACAGGCTGCTGCCGCCCTAATATCAGAAACGTTAGTATAACACGTCACCAAACTAATACCTAACTAATACAATAATTATAGTGGTTTCAAAGAAGAAGCCAAGCAACCTACTGACATCAGTTTCAACCTTCTAGTTGAATTGGAAGGACAGCATACTGAACCAGCAGCGAAGAAAGGAAAGTTCGAAGAACCTTCTGGAGCTAGTAGCGGGGCTGCTGAAGAGAATGGGGAGGATGAAGAAGAGGAAGAAGAAGAGGAAGACGTCGAAGTTGAAGTTCAAGGAAAGAAGGTGAGATCGGATTATTGTAGAAAATAAACGAAAACGTATGTGTAGGTAAAAATAGAAGATGTAACTCAAGAGATGGTGGAATCAATGACCGATGAAGAGAAACAGAAGTACATTTCCATCGTCAATGAAAACGTGTACATGTGAGAACTAATGAAACTTCTGCGATTAGTGATGTCCTTTGTTGTTTGAGCATTTGTAATGATTTATTGAGTTTACGCGTCATCACATTCCGTGTAGTGATGTTTTTTATATTCAAAATGTTGAAATCAAAAGAATTCTCTACTGAACTTTTTTTGTACAAACTGTGTCCATTCAGAAGTATATATCATGCAAACAGAAGTTATAACTATTTTCGCCCTCAGTTTGATCAGCTGTTGAGCACGCCAGTGGTCATCTACAGAGTATTTAAAGATGACCGATCCAAGAAAATTAACAAACAATCATGCTTTTCGTTCTTTCAGTCCTTTTCATAGGATACACCCAGGCTCAAGTAAGTATAAACTCCTTCCTCAGTAAAACCTGACTTTTAAGACATGCGATAATGATATCTGCAATGGGCATGGTACATGCTGGGGATCCGAGTTACTCCCATTTTGTATTTGTGAGCCAAACTATATTGGTTTCCGTTGCGAAACAGGTTCAACTTTTACTAGTCAAAATTTCTTATTATTTTTTCAGAGCTCTCATCTCTTGGACTTGGTCTAAACCCAACTGGTAGTTGTTTAACGAGCTTGGATTGCTCAAATGGCGGAAATTGTGTTTTTGGTGTATGCCACTGCGCCCTGGGATTCACTGGTTCTAAATGTGAAAAAAAGATTGGTAGGACGTGACGCTCGAATGAAAGTTTTAAAGTTTTTAGATTCATTATTCTCGGACAGCAGCAGCAGCAGCAGCAGCAGTAGCAGTACTTGTACTGCAAGTGATTGTAATAATCAGGGAGTTTGTATTGGCAAGAAGGAAAATCCTCTATGCCTCTGTTATTTGGGAAGAACTGGAAAGCATTGTCAAGATTCAATGCCAGGATTACGTAAAACCTTTTATTCAAATAATGAAAAACTTATTTCTCTCTTAGTGAACATCGATGCATCAGCTCCAATGACTTTCTGCTCGGCCAGTGATTGTAATAACAAAGGAATTTGTTTAGGAACAAAGAATACATTCTCTTGTGCATGTGAACTTGGATATACCGGAAAAACCTGTGAAATCAGTTATATTTTTTCCGATTATTGGAGAAATACAGTTGTTTTCAGCCCCACATCCCATATGTGACCCCAAAGATTGTAATAATAATGGGTTGTGCTTAGGAACTAAAGAAAGCTTCTTCTGTGCCTGTCACTTAGGATATTCCGGAGATCGTTGTCAGAAAGGTAATTTAGAAGTTTATCAGCAAAGGCTTTCTGTCCTTTAGTGAGCGGAACCGTCTGCGAGAACAGCGATTGCAATAACGCCGGGCTTTGCTTTGGTACAAAAACAGAGCATACGTGTGTGTGTTCTCTTGGATATTCTGGAAAGAGCTGCGAAACTAAAAATTGTTCGATTTCTCAATTAACCTCAACAATCTATTCTTTTTTGCAGTAGCCTTAGGTTTCGAAGGAATATGTGATATGAAAGATTGCAATGGCAATGGACTTTGCTTAGGAACCAAGCTGCTACCCACCTGTCTTTGTGCCCCAGGTTTCCTTGGGCTCCGTTGTGAAATAGGTTTTTCAAAGATTCTGAAACTGTGAAAATTGTTTTTCTCAAGAGCCTCTTTGTGATCCTCTGCTCAGTTGCTCTGGCAATGGAATTTGCTATGGAACTAAGAAGGCTTATTCTTGCTTGTGCAACATCGGCTGGAAGGGAACATTCTGTGAAACTCTCAGCGTATTAGGATAAGTATCCTGCCGTACCAAAATTTGTCTGTATTTACCGGAGTCGTTAATTAATTATGAATCATAAAATATATCAAAAAACCACCTTGTTCAGTACGAGTTATGCGGGAAACCCTCATATTTTCCAAATTCAACTGTGAAAAAAGGCAATTGAATATTTGGAGTTCATGTTAACTGGTAGGATTCCACTAATTTTTTCGAGTAAACTTATTCGGAATTTGAATTCGTTTCGGATTGGTGTTCTATCGAATCTACATTGTTAACAACGCGCCTTTTCATCTCTGATCTCGCGACCTTTCATATTTGTTGTTTCCTCTTTTTCATTTCATTAGTCGCGCATATATTGATAGGTTGTTCACGTTTCCAAGATTTTTCATGACTACTAGATAGATATTACGGTTCAAGACTATAGAATAAGCCTTCACGCTTTTCACGGAGGGATGTGCTTCGTTATTTGTTGTGATTCGATCATTGTGACTGTTGAGTGGATTAGAAGTTATGTTGACAAATTTGAACACTTTGATCTCTAACTTTTCTGTTGTGTTATCTGCAGCATCAGCTGCCTCTTCATCTATTGGTTTCCTCCGGGAAAGTCATTACATGTTTGAACGTTAAATTCGATGAACGTTCAAACTATGACGTATCAGTTTCTCGTTGTCCAATTTGGTGTTGATGTTAGGATGCTTGTGCTTTTCATCAGAAGTATTGTTATACACTATCGTCTACAAATTATTCTCCTTATTACATCGTCCAGAGACTATTCTCCTAACCCATGAACAGTATCCCCCTTCTTCCACACTGGGACCCCCAAACCGTTCTCGAATGATTTTTGTTACGCGTCTTCCTGGTACTACTTTCTTAATTCAGGGCTCTGGAACTGTTTCGTAGATTCTTTCATGCATGTGCCTCTCACATGATTCTCTCCTATTCCTCTTTCTAGCTCAGAAAGTTCGATCATTGAACTTCAGCCATTTGAAATAAAACACTCAGTACTGTCGACGATATCTCTATTTGTCCTATTGATCACTAAACCCCAAACACAAGGCATTCTTCTTGCTCTTAAACTGAATGAAGGTATTCAGATCATTTTGTTCTGAATTCACTGAGCTTCTAACTAAGGAGCTTCTTAGGACAAGAGCAACTAATGTATTGTTTTGGGAATGCTTGGCACATCAAAACTCGTGATTCACTCAATCAGTTTCGAGCATCAGGATTGAATTGTGGAAACCTTGACGCACAGATTTAGCGCAATACAGAGAAGTAAAATATCAAAATACTGATTTTCCACATTGATTTTTTTAAAAATCTAGCAAATGTTCCCTGATCGTGTCGAAAACTCAATAAGAGTTCTACCACTTGTACAAAAACCAAGTGAACGAACTATAAACATAGCATTCAGTAGCTGAAATGATTAGAGTTCAGTTACTTCTCAGAAACATTATCCGCAGTCGTACACCACTATTTGCATAATTGAATTGTACATGATAGTCCACAACTTTCCATTCTCCAGAGATTACTGCGGTTAGCGGTTGTTCTGAAGAAACATGGCATAATGAATTAGTTAATCCTTGCTCCAACTCTGTAGATCAAAGAAAGTAGGAATAATAATGAGGGTAAACCGGAACACTTACTTCAATGTCAAGATCATTTCCTTTTTCGAAAAATCCATCGAAAATTTAAGAGTTTCAAAATTAGCTCATTAATAATTTTGTATATTATATATTAACAGAAGAGTGAGGACCTGAGAAGAGAGTATCCTACATATGTTGTTGAACGAAGTTAGAAAAATGAGGAAATGACTGTTTAAAATGATCTAGTATTCATGCTGACTCAAGCGACATGAGAGTTTACAACCAGAGAGCGAAACTATGAACAAGCATGAATCCATGACTTGAACTAGACGATATCAACATACCTGCCATGAGTTATATCATGGGACATTAGAATTAAGATCACGTTTTCTCATAAAACAGAGTATTGATATGCAGCTTAAACGAATCTTAGAGAACTATGACGTCAATTAATTGAACAACAAAGCTTCACGAGGACAGATTACAATCAAGTAATGTAAGTCTTAAGGTTAAGTAGAAATAGTTTTTCATAAGGCCTATCATTAGGAAAGAAGAATCGATGGAGTAACAACAATGTTCTCTTGAATTCATTCCATTTAAAGCCAATAGTGGAGGATCCAATTGTTTTGCAGTAATTTCGAGTTATTATTGCGAACACAAAAATGGACATCTTCTCTATTCAAAATGGACAAAAGTACTGAAGCGTTATTAGTACTTATCTAATGACTTCACTCATAACATCACTGGGATGTTCTGCTTCCTTGTCTAGAGATCACTTGTTGAGAAGTTGATGTCAAAACCATCAGATCCGAAAAAACCTTTAAGGCTTGTCGAAAAGTGTGCCAATAACGATGAAAGCCATAACAACAAACAATTTGTTACTTCCTACATTATTATAAGACGAAAATCTAAAAGTATTACAAGAGATAAGACATATTAAGGGAAAAAAAGATGAGAACACCATCCAATTTACTACTTGAGTAGACGAGAAATAGTATTTGACAATCATGATATGCCTATTATGCAAATTTTCATTCGATCTATCAAAATAAGGAACAAAAAACATTCCGTCGAACCGGATTCGAACCAGTGACCTAAGGATATCAGCACTACTACAGTCCTCCGCTCTACCAACTGAGCTATCGACGGT